TATTCAAGTTTTCACTTCTGCCGGCACTCCCGGAGTGCAACTCGTCGTTTTTTTTTCACATTTCATTTGGTGTTGTGGCAGGCGATTTAAAAAAAAATCAGTGAATGCAGTTCTACTTATTATTTAAAAATAAAATGATGTCTACTTTCAGTAAAATAACCTATCTTTAATATTCAATATACTTTCCCTCCATGTGGCAATGCCGTGGAACGCCCTGTATATATGTTATAATTGGAGTGTTAAATTGATCAATGCTTATGCTTCCTTTTACTTAATGTAGCGGAAGAATATGAAAAGACGTGCAAAGAAAAGTATCTCTTATGTCCAACGCACACGGTGTATACTAGCGATCACATCAATCTGGACTCTAATATGCCTTTGACATATACAACATTTTTCTTTGCAGATTGCAAGTTAACATTCTTAGAGAATGCTGTGAGCCAAAGCGTATTTCAATAACTAAATATTGTGTGTAATAAAAATACTATTTTTCACAATGATCACAATCTTTCACTATCATTTCTTTGTTAATTCGTCGTCTGGGCATCCATTAAGTATTATATATATGTAAATATTTTCTTATCTACACCTAAGCATAGAAAAATTACGATATTACATACATTTATACATGCATACATAAGACATTATATAGCACAGAACTGATGACGCGTCATTAAATCGAACAATCTAAACACAACAAACTTTAATATATCTCTCCCTTTCCAACCTTAACAATATTCCGTGAACAAAAGAGACAGACACGTCGCATCTCCTTAAAGCTTCAAAAACCTTGCCAGTTACAATCATTATAAAAGACTATCACATATTAATTTATCATAGTGGTGCGCGCGTGTCGATGATTTACAATATCGATATCGGCATTTGCCACGTCAAGCTTAACATTTAAACATCGAATATTATACTTACAACGATCGAATAGGGCTATAATCCCCTAGGCTTTATTATTGAACAGGGTTTAAGCTGGTTTTATTAAATTACGGCCGTACTCACAGACGTCAGTTAACTTTTAAGTTCGATTGAAGTTGATGCCGAAGCTGTCACTTTCTCTACGATGGTAAAAGAATAAGACATGTGACTTAATGAATTAAATTGGTGTCTCTGAGTGCAGCCATTAGATTTATAATTACGTTGACTTCCAAATCTTATATGAGCGATGTGAGCAAAACTTTAGTGACAATTTCAAGCTTGTTCTTCATTTAATTAGAGCGTGGTAGTATTGACTGGTGCTTCTTGTATAATACAGACTATTTATTACAAAACATTGATTAAATTCATTCATTCATTTAACATCTTGCTGGATCCAGCATGCGGGACAGCGCTATACACGTAAAAGAGATGGAGATACAAGAGCTCTTTGACGTGCTATAGCGCTGTCTCGCATGCTGGATCCAGCAAGATCTTAAAGTATTAGAGGTTTTGTAAGTAAAACGCGGTCTTAAAATGGTACTGTCACCTTTGTTTGTTTGATATAACAGAGAGAGCATTAGTGTTTAAACCAAGTCTAATATAAGTCCACGTTTTGGAACAAGGCAGTTAGAGACAAATTGCCAAAATCCATTTTGAAGTAGAGGACTTGTAAGTTAAATGCTTTCTTAAAATTGTACTGTCACCTTCGTTTGTTTGATATAAGATAGAGACAGCATTAGGGTTTAAACCAAGTGTAACATAAGTCCACGTTTTGGAATAAGGCAGTTGGAGACAAATTGCCAAAATCAATTTTGAACGATATATTGTGAGCGCTGATTTGTTCGATGAAGTCGCGTCGTTTGATTGGCTATTATCTATTAGGTGGAAGTGTAGTGGGGACGAACCGGCGACATCGGTTCCCGTACAAACGGTTTACCATCACCCTTCTGACTTCTTTCTGTGTTTAAACCTTTTGCTTTCCCTGATTCCTCTTTAGCTAACAAAAGCGACAATGGTGTCGATCCTGGCATGATTCTCTAAACTTAAATCAAATCAATCATTATCATTTTAAGGCCAGGTTTGACTTTATCAACCTTTTGTAATAAGAAGGATAACTCAACTCCACTATTCCTCAAGCCTCAATACGCTTTACCAAAAGATTTCCTTTTTTATCAATATTGAAAATTCATGCAATTAAGTACTGTTAAATTAATAAACTTAAAACAAATGGTTTTATTTCTTATAATTTTCGTTAAAATTTTTACTAATGCACTTTGGAAAATTCACATACTGTTTTTACACTCATCACTCCACTCGATCCACAAACCAGTTGCATAATAATTATTCCATCAAGATTTTTCTATTTTTTTTTTACTCATTAATACTATTTAATATTAGTAAGGCTGACATATCTACAGGCGAATTCCGTATATATGACAATCATGATAAGGTCGAAATTGTATTGCACGTGTGTTCAGGCGATTTATGGGAAATTGAATCTCAAATTAAAATTACACATCATCATCAATAATATTGTCTAAACGCGATACGGATACGTATTGTTTATACCAATGGATTGTAGACTTAAGGCAAATATATTAAAAACCCCAGATACAACATCACGAACAATATCGTGGTCGAAATCTGCCCAAAAAGTACATTTTACGATTCGCGGAGCTCCGTGGGATGACCGCGTAGCCAAAAACAATATAAGGCATCATTTAAATATTCAAAGTTATTTTTAATGCATAGAGCATGAATAATAATCCTTTATTGGGCATATAAGGTCTTAATTTAAATGCATTCGTAATATACAGTTCGTAATATAAGCTCGTAAAATTTTACGACTTGTCTCTACATAATATAGATTTTATTTCTATGACTTTATATCGTCATTAATTATTATTAAAAAGAGCGAAATGAACAAATATTCCTTTAATTAATGACTGAAATAGAAGCTAATTATTCTTCTTGGTGTCGCTCGCGCGGTGTGCCTCTAAGGTTTTCTAAATGTGTAAATACTTATTATAGACTACTAACACTTAGTTGTAAGTTATATTGTATACTAACATATGGATCTGTGTTGTCTGCCAATAAATGATATTATTATTATTACTGTCGAGTTTTTTATTACGGAGCTCTGCCGCATATTGACTTTTCAACGGTCCGCGGGTGACCAAGAAGTGCTTTATTGGCGTTAAAGCACTTCTTGGTTGGGACACATTTCGAGCGCTCCCGTTGTAACTAGGATTTTTAATATCGTTGATTTTAGAGGCGTGAATTTCTTCGGTTTATCACTTCGCAGGTTATTGGGATATAACATAAACAATTGTAGCTCTACGCTGAGTAAAATTGTAAAAATAATATCCATTCCATTCCAACTCCTTCAGACATTTTTTTTGTATCTTTGGAGTTATTTCCAAGTTAATGTATAAAGGATTTTCAATCAATGATGTGATTCTTGATTTATTCAATCAAATATTTTATATTTCCTCGTCCTGACGCATCTGTCGGCTCACTTAGCATAATATGTTTTGACGGTTTATATATAATATTGACATATATATAATATATATATATATATTTGCTATAGACCGTTCAAACTTATAACACTAAGTAGGCCGATATATGTGTCCGGAAGAATATTTATTTTAAAAATTAGTTCAGCCTAGAAAATATACCAATTATAAGTCAATCAACGCACAATAAACGTCCTATTACAGTAACACCGGCACTCGGATATTCGTGTTGGCTATTCGTAAACTTGACATCATTCTGTCCTTTTCATTCCTTATAAAACATTATAAGAACAGACTGTTAAAGTGCCTGAATATCGCGAAATTTATGGTGTATTTTGGCTACTTCATAGCCAAATCTGAATGATTATTCAAACCATAAACTATAATATGAGGAGCTGGCAAACAAAACGGTATAATTACGCATCAGTGGGGCTACTCTCTTTTTCCGAAACGAACTTTCGATAACGAAGTTCAAACGAAATACAATTTCGTCAATTTAAGATTATACTTAATTTGAAAGACAAGCTATCAAATTGAAGCTTTCTTTGAGTAGGCTTACAAAATCTACACCTCACCTCAAGTCTATATTCCGACGATGAATATTATTATAATTAAAAGCGAACGCCGCCCGTTATCACGCCCGTTGAAATTGTATCTCAAATAAATTTCAATCATAACCGCCTAAAACAGAGTTTTATAAATTTTTAATTAACCATGTCCAAAGCTCACTGGAGGTATGTCATTCAGTTTTATACAGCTCCTGTAAAATTTAAATTTATGTAATTATACCGTTTTGTTCGCCAGCTCCTCATATATGATATATGATACACAACACTTGGTACCGTTCATAATGGTGTCGATTATGGCATGATTCTCTAAATCTAAACTTAAATTTAACAACAGCGTATCCTTCTTATATTCTATACAGAATGAAAAGGACAGACTGAATTCAAATTAAGTTTAAGTTTAGAGAATCGTGCCGGAATCGATACCAATATTTAATTTGACTTTATCATACATACGGCTACAATTGAAATGCTATTTTTTTATTTTCGATTAAACAACATTATAGATGTTTTGGATTATTTTTATACGTTATTATTATGAGAGTAAAGTATTTATAACTTACAGTTAATAGTTTAAAGGGATAACATATTGATATATTTATTGTTACTAAGTCATAAATATCTTCATCAGTAGAAAACTATTCAGTGGTTTTAAAATATTTTGAAAGTTAAATGCATTCATTGTTATCACGATGAATCTTTTAAAAATTAAAACTGTTGTACCGCCATCTTAAAAAAATAAAACATCTGCACATCGAATAGTGTTTTCATAATGTCGATGAAGTCGGGTGTCGATATTTTTTAACTATAGAATTTATTTCGTTAATTGCTATCTTTTACAGATAAATAAATAACCATTATTTTAGTAAATGTTTTCATATTATGGCTGTTCCCTACTATGAGTATGTATAAACAAAAATATAGTTATATATATACTCACATAAAAGCTGAAAATTAATGACTAAAATTTTGTATTTGTTTTTCCAAATAACCTTGCTTAGCCACATTATAACATAGTCATTTACTTTTAAATTAACATTAAATTGCCCATTATATCTCATACACATTATAAAAAAATATCCAACTAATTTCTTCACTCTAATCAACTCAAAGTAGGGAAAAAAATTGTTTCAATAAAAAAACACATTCCTAACTTTTCTTTTTTACCCGATTACCATATCGGGTTGATCAATCGACAGTGAACTTTTTATCGACAGACGGCTGATCGGTCATCGATATTTTCATCGACTATCGGTATATTATCTCGATTGACATCGATTATTGTCGTTACAAAATGATTCGCGATATTTTATATCGATAATATCGGTTTCTATCGATAGTTTCGACCCTGTAATCTCGGATGTGACGTATTATGCCTCGGTGGCCATTGCGTAGTAGAGGCGGTCACCCATCCATATAATTGCCTCGCGGCTTCCAATTACACACTATGCTTAGCTGTTTATCTGTAAAAAGAAAAAAGTACATTAAAAAGATAGGATTCATTAAAGCAATAAGAGTCTAAAATCGCGACATAACATGATTTTTTAAATTTGACTTTCACCTGAGTATTCGTTTTGCACATTTTCATACAAGTCAAATTTTATTTCACATTGTGTTTAAATAAAGACAGACGGACACATTTTCGCATTTATAAAACATACTAGTATGGACAGTATAAGTGAGCCGAAAGATGAGTCCGAAAGTAGCTATATTAATAGAAATATAGGTAAAAAACAGACAGAAAGACAGACGGGCATATTTTCGCTTTTAAAATATATAGAAGTATGGATAGTATAAGTGGGCCGATAGATGGAGTCCGATAAAACTATATTAGTATGGATAAACAATATGTATGTTAAATTCAGTATGATTATGCAAGCATTAATAAAGAAAGCTTAAAATGTGGCTGATAACGAAATGTTTTTACTCAGTTACAGAATATTTAGAAACTTAAATTAACTTAGAATAGAATTAATAAAATAACATAAGCTATAAAATTTACAAATAAATTAAGTTTCACATTCACATGCCCGCCCTGTCGTTGGCAAAATGGACGAACTAAATGAAAATCACCACCAAAAGTATCTACTCTGTTTTGTATGAATGAATAAATTTCATTTTATTTCAAGACATAATATCTTAGATTAAAATAAAAAGGGAAGATACGGCACTCGCGACTCAAAAGTGATTCTCACAAATTGTGGTGCATGACCACAATGCGCTTTAGTCACAATTGGTCATTCAAACACACTGCACGTGCACTCAATATAACAATATTGCTTATATTGTGTTATAAAGATAAAACAATGCCTTATATATAATGAGATATAACTGGTATCCTATTCGTGAAGCAACGTCCGTCGATAGCATGATCACCTACTTCAACCAAGCCATTTTAGACCTTTACGACCGTCACGCCCTTAAAAAGTGCGTTAAATTAAAACGACCACCAGCGCCATGGATTACTGCGGGTGTTCGTATGGCAATGAGGAAACGGAACAAGTGCTTCCGATCGTACAAACGTTGCCGTACTGATGACAACTGGCGTGCATTTAAAACTGCAAGGAATCGTTGCAATCAGATGGTGAGAGCCGCTAAACGCCAATACATCCATCAGAATATTTCAAATTCAAATCTAGCCGATACATGGAAGTTTCTTCGTACTCTAGGTTTTGGTAAAACTTTCTCAAAATTTACCTCTTCTTTTTCATTGGATGAGCTTAACAAACATTTCTCTTCAGTTTCTTCTCTCTCTACTTCAGTTATGCTCTCTACTGTTTCCTCTATAACTTCCATGGCTCCTTTTTCTAGTGAATTATTTAGTTTTCGTCCCTTAACTGAAGAAGAGGTCCGTAAGATTGTCCTTTCCATAAGATCTAAGGCAGTGGGATGTGACGATATCAGCAGGACTATGATTATCCCTATACTTGAATGTATACTTCCAAGTATCACCTTTATTCTTAATTTTTCCCTTTCATCATGTACCTTTCCTTCTATCTGGAGGAAAGCACTTACTACGCCTCTTCCTAAAATTAATAGTCCGTCATCTCTGAGCCACTATCGGCCCATATCTATTCTTCCTTTTCTCTCCAAGGTTTTAGAAGCTGCTGTGCACAGCCAACTCACCTCTTTTATCTTTCGCCACAACATTCTCAGCCCACTGCAATCTGGGTTCCGTCCAGGTCACAGTACTACCACTGCCCTTATCAATGTCCTTGACGACATTCGTAGCGGTATGGAGAATTCGCAGTTGACTGTTATGGTCCTAATAGACTTCTCCAACGCATTCAATATGGTCAATTATGATATTCTCCTGGCAATTCTTTCACAAGCAGGAGTTTCTTCTTCAGTAGGGACCTGGTTTTCATCTTATCTTCGTGGACGCCAGCAGGCTGTACGGGTAGACCAAACCATCTCGGACTGGTGCGCTCTCACTGCTGGTGTTCCACAGGGCGGTATTCTCTCTCCTCTTCTTTTTTCTTTATTTATTAATTTCCTTACTACTATGATTCATTCCTCTTACCATCTGTATGCAGACGATCTCCAACTTTATGTTCATGCAGATAAAAATAGTTTAGATGAGGCCCTCATATGCCTGAATAATGACCTTCAGAGGATTTCGGAATGGTCCAACTGTTATGGTATCTCTGTTAATCCATCAAAATGTCAGGCAATTATAATAGGTAGTTCCCGGCAGTTGGCCTTTCTGGATTTAGGTTCACTGAATCCATTACTATACAATGGTACTGTAATTAAATTTCAACCATGCGTCAAGAATCTTGGCCTACTCATTGACTGTACTCTTAGCTGGGAGAATCAAGTTGAAGAAGTATGCCGTAAAGTAATTAATACACTTAGGGCTCTGTACAGGTTAAAATTCTTTCTCCCTTCCAGTACAAAGGTTTCGCTGGTACAGGCTCTCGTTCTGCCTATCCTTGACTATGCTGACGTCTGCTATTCTGACACCAATCAAAACCTTCTTTCTAAGATGGATCGTTTGCTCAACAGCGGTATTCGCTTTATCTTCGGTTTACGTAAGTACGACCATATCTCCCACTATAGAAATAAACTCAATTGGCTGTCCATACGTGACCGTAGAAATCTCAGAATTTTATGCATGCTTTTCAGTGTTCTATACGATCCACGTGCCCCAGAATACTTGAAATCTAGGTTTCAATTTCTGGGTCCCTCCAGACCACGTGATCTTCGCTCTTGCAGGCACCTTACCCTCAAAACTATTTTTCACCATTCTGGGTTCGTTTCCAAATCTTTTGCCATCACAGCTATACGTCTGTGGAATGCTTGTGAATATTCGCAGTGCACGTAATAAGTTACATTTCAAAAAACTAGTGCGTGCTCACTATCTGTCAACCTAATTTTCCTCTTAATCTGTAGTCATCTATAATATCATCATATCTATTTTTATTTATTTTTTTACTAATTTAGTGTATGTATGTTTATTTATGTATTTATTTATAAGTATATATATTTATGAATATATATGTGTATCAGTATATGTGTAGGTATAATATGTATTTTATATTTATTGTTGTTATAGAATAGTTAGGTATAGTAGATATTTTTTATGATCCACACTAAGTAAGTATCTCATATTCTATCGCCATTACATTGCATCTCCTACACCTTTACTGGTTGACTGGTAGAGAATGCCTATGGCATTAAGTCCGCCATTTACTGTTTTTATGGTAATAAAGAATAAATAAATAAATAAATGCCTTCGATGCTTTTTGTAATGATGCTATATTTTTTCTCAAAAACCACGGTTTGTCGTGAATGTTATTTACGTAATCGCCATTTTGTTATCAAGAAAAGGACAACAATACAGCTCAGCCATGCGGACAGTTTTGTTTCGCTCGCTCGATTTAATGTTTATATTATACAGACGTGTGCTTGTGTGAGAGTTGCTTATGTAGTTGAGTCGGATCATATTTTATTTGAAGCTAGTATGAGCGTACCTTATCTTCCCTTTTTGTTTTAATTTATATTATAAAACTTACCGCCCCCCCGCCACTAGGGGCGTCACGGGGGCGAAGTACGCGTGTACTTTGATAACAATGTCTGTCTGTTTGTTTGTTACCTCTTTAGAAGAAGTCGCGAGCACCCGCTTGTAGATATGTGTAGAACGTGTCCCACGTGGGTATGCGTTTTAGTGACAGGTTGTCGTCCATTACAAATCTTCGAAATATAGCTGTTTCGTACATTTCGGTCGATTAGCTGATGCACTTTTGTATGAAATAGCACAGATTATTTTTCGCGATTTCAGCGTGGGTCCCATAATAAAAGTTGTTCCTGTTGAAGGGTCCCTAAGAGGTTGTTGGTGTTTTAAAATTAACCCTGTATGGATATTAAAAAGTGGGCCGATAGATGAGAGTCCAAAAGTATCTATATTTATTTATATGGCTTATCAATATGTATGTTTAAATTCAGTATGGTTTATCAAGCCAGAAATCATAAATCAATATATCTTTATTCAAATTGGATGTATAGTACAACACTTTTGAATCGTCCAAACATTTTTTTCCCCACCACTCGTTATTGGGACATATTTTTTAACTGCGGAGAAAAACGAGCGAAAAAAACTCCACAACATTAAAAGTATAATGTAACAACATTTACAAATCATTATGTTGTTACAGCGTCAATACAATCATGATTTATTTAATATAGAAAACCTGTTGGAATGATTGGAACAGTTCAAACCCAAGCATTTTTGTCTGTAATATAATCAGACACTTTATAATAAGCTTTTTTAATAAGTGTTTTTTTTTATACTATCCTTGAATTTTTTATGGTTAACGCTTGGATATTGCTTGGGACTTTATTGTATAAGCGAACACAAAGACCTTTAAATGAATTATTAAACTACTTGACCGTCACTGAAAGCTTTATATTGAGATAGCACTTCCGTTTCCCGTCGAATTACCATCAGTTTCCGTACTTTTATTCACTTTGTATCCGGTCCAGTGGCGACACCTGGCAGAAGCGCGGCCATATTTGTTTTCCTAAGTTTTGACAGCGCCATATTAAATAATTGGCGTTCTGACTCCCGTCGAAGCAACACGTGCTCAATCTGAGCGATCGTTGTGAGATTTTAAAGGTTTTATTATTATTAAGTGATAAAACTGTAAGTAAAACTATTTTATTTTAACGGTTTTTGCCGTTCGTGTTATTCCAAATAGGTACTTTACGTGTTAGAAGTGAAGGAACCGTAAGTAAAACTATTATTCTTTTTGATAGTTTTTGCAGCCCTTGTGATAAGGGATATTTAAAACAAATACGTTAAATTGTGCAATACCCTTGTTTAAAAAAGTTATAATAAGCCGTGAGTAAAACTTGACGGTCATTCAAGGTGCGTTTTGTTTAAAAAAATTAAAGTACCTACATTAAAGTAAATTTTGCAATACTTTACGACTGTCTTGGTCGTTTGTAATAAAAACTATTTTAAGAGTGTTTTCTCTTGGTACTCAATTAATGTTTCCGTATAAGTAAGTGTGTAAGTAAATTGGTAAATGTATTACAAAATACTTAATTAAATTATTTTATAGTTTAGAGTGAAGGAACATCGGTCAATATTGACGTTTCAGCCGCCAACTGACTGGCATTAGTGGCAAAAACAGCAAGATGGTTGAATTTGTCACCTTCTGGTATAACGAAAGCGGCATCGCTGTCTCAAGAAAAGTAAGCGAGCTTGATATTCCAGCCCTTTTATTAAAAGATTGTTCGAGGGGTAAGTGAACTATGTACAATCTTAATAAGGTATTTCTAATGTCGATATGTCTTTTTCTGAACATGGCCAGCTATCAATATCAAAAGGCTTATGAATAAAAAGTTCTAACATTTTTACTGACCAATACACGTAATAAAAATTTTCCGATGAGTCGTGTGACTAAACTAGGATATAGGAACGCTCTGTTCGAAAGACATTCAACGTTTATTTTAAATGATATGCTGATGTAAATTGAAAATTATAATCATAGTCCAGGCTTTACCAACCTGGAAACAAACAACGAGGTAAAGAAGTATGATGATAATTTATGATATATCACGTTCCTGACATTAATTTTCTTTCAGCAATTGCATATTTCTAAAATAAAAATAAATCATTGCGAGAAGGCACCTGTTCAGTTAATTTTAATAACGAAAGTGATAAGATAACAGAATCGTTTCTTAGGTCTTTTACAGCTAGTGAGGGCACAAAGCTAAAAAGTAAAAACTAAAGCACTGCTTATAAGATACCATCTAATCACCCATAATGATTCAGAGCTTTTGAGATTGTTTTTCTCGTATTAAGTCAGAATTAGTCATGGATTCAACTCACGCAGAGGCAAGTGATACTCATAAGCTTCATCTCATGAAGCCCAAGGCGTGTCAGGACATGCCCTCCCATGGCGTACCGACACATATGAGTACCGGTGGCAAATCACCCTCGCAGGGTGCATATTATATATAATTTGTTTCCATTAAGTGGAATCTTATGAAATGCGTCAAATGCCTTGCCTACATATACGAGTACCGGAAGCAAATCACCCTCGCGGGGTGCATATTATATACAATTTGTTTCCACTACGTGGAACATTATGAAATGCTTCTAATGCCTTGCCTACATATACGAGTACCGGCAGCAAATTCACCCTCGCGGGGTGCATATTATATACAATTTGTTTCCACTACGTGGAACCTTATGAAATGACTCTAATGCCTTGCCTACATATACGAGTAACGGTAGCAAACCACCCTCGCAGGGTGCATATTACCAAAACTCTAATGACCGCCCCTCGCGGGGGCATATTATGTATAATTTGCTTCCACCGTATGGAACTCATTATGAATAAAGACATGCCTTCCATGGCTTGCCTACACATACAAGTATCGGTAACAAAATATCGTTGATGGAGGAATATCCTCATCAATCTTATAATCGCCCTTGTGGGGTCATATCACACATAATATATTATTTCCATTACGTGAAGCTCAATATATGTTTTCCTTAGAACATGTTCGCTTATGGAGTTCGTACTATTATGTAAGCACCGGTAACATACGACACTCGAGTGGAGCAAATTATGCATAATTTAACATATAGTCTATTCGTGATTCATAATTTATTTTTGTGACCATGGGGTCTGTAAAAGTGTAAACGATTCGAAACATTAAAAATAAGTAAATTGAAAATATAATAAATGTCGCTTGACATAATTCATTACTTCCATCGCGTGGAAATCCATACATCGACGCAACGCAACATACCCGCTCATGGTTTGCGTACTCACATAAGTATCGGCTATAAACTACCCTCTTAATAGACTATAAAGATCGAACATCGAATGTTGACGTACCCCGTTGTGAAGTGCAATGTACGTGGTTTTAAAGGTGTCGCATACTCCGAGGTCTTGGGTTCACCCCGGTGGGGCAAATCATTGTATGATTAAAACAAGCATCTGTGCCTAAGTCTTGGTTGTTAACAAATATTAACTCAAAATCATATCAATCTATGCATCATCATTATGCATTTCTATGCGTTAGCCCATAACACAAGTCTTTCAATGCCTATTATGAGGCTAGGCTAATTGGTGTGAAGTGTTGACTCGATCACTACGGTTGTTCTACCGTAATATAGTTATCGAGGACGTGCTGTAATACATTTCAAAAGAAAAAGGAATATCGAAACAATTAATGTTTGAAAAAATTTAGTGCAGGACAGTTGATAAATTGGTTGCACCACAAATAATTCTTAAATAAATTTAATGGTGTCGCATGCCATTCAAAAGCTTGTTTATCTAAATCCAATATATATCAAGCTCCAATCTCAAGTGCAGTACACTATAACTATGTAAAGAATTCTAAGTTTTCTGCAATTTAAGGACTATCTGCCAGATAGATAGATGATAACATATTTTCTCTTGAAAATAACAAAAGTAAACCAAATGGGTTGCTCACTCTTTTGATCGGGTAATGAGAGAAACTTGCAATATTAGAAATGTCGTGTATGAGGTGTCCGAGGTGGCCAACATGACCATTTTGATATATAAGTGGTGCTATGTACTGAAGAAAAATTGCACGATCTACCAAATTCTTGAAAGGTTTTGAAGATCATTGTATGCAATTATCCACTTTATGTTATTTTTAGTAAAAAATACTGAAAACTGATTTTAATATTAAACTTACGCTTTCTAACCTTGCCACGACTGTCTGCAATAAATATACTTCAAACCCTACGCATAGTACATGCACACTTCATGTAAGCTGTGTAAATCTTATAAATAACTAAATCTTTATTGAGTATTAAGCAATACATATAAATGACTCAGATCTAAGAACTGAAAAACAAAAGGAAAAATTACAATCAATTATAGATTCCAGGATGGCAAATGAATTTCATAAAATCTGGTCTGAACTTCGTAATAGCATAATTTATCACGGCAACCCTGCAACAATATAAAAACTATACCTGAGAATTTCGTTGTAAAAGCGTAAAACTTCAGAAGTTGATCGGTTTCAACATGTTTGTCATTCCATGGGGTTGTATCAACCACTCCCTACTTCTAACAATAGTTATAAATTCATTGCAATCGACCTTGCAATCACTTCCTGCCAATCTAATATGAAAGCTTGGCAAGTATAGTTGAAGAATACGGCTCTACCACTTCACTTCAATCTCCACTCCAATCAAATAGATATGCTAGCACTACGCTTTTTATCATATTCTACAAAGAGCGACAGCTCTGTTTTAAACAGCTATGAGATGGCTCGGAAACGCTGGCTTGCGTGGTTGCATTGGTCTAGGAACAAGAATGTTTATCGGAATAATCCCGCAGGTTGTGGACTCGGCTCTGAGCTAACACGATTTGAGACTTATTTTAACACGTGACTTATCTCAAAATAAGTACCATTATTCTAAATAAGTCGGTAGTTTTTACATGATATACCAATGGATGATAAGTCTAATTACCTAAGCTCACCTGTCTTGGCACATAATAATATATTGAAGTCGATTGTTTTAAAGAATCATTTCCTTTTCTTCAATAATGTACTCGTTATATCATAATGATCTGTTTCAAATACCTTGACATACTAGTTGTTGTTCTGAACGTCATACAGTAATTATGCTGCGTATTATTTGGTTCAGCATGTGGTACACATGACTTGTTCCTACTTCAAATTATTCCGAATCATTGTATTTGTACCGACGAAGATTAGTTTTAGTCTTGTTTTGGTTCAAAACAGGTGAAAGTAGTTAAAGACAATCCGATTGGTGACTTGTATCGAATAATGGTAATCGTAAGTGGGACCCTGATTTTTGGTACTTAAGTAAAAAGTACAGTATTGTAAAATGTAAGACTCAGTATCGAACAACTTTACATCTTTTTCTCGCATTCGTACGCCTTATTTGTGATATACAAAGATACAAATGAATGCTACACAAGGAAGCGTCCGGTCATTAACAAAGCAAATATATATATATAATTCGCGAGTTTTAAGCAAAGGAATATAGCGATCAGCTAATACATATGTTAAAGCAGCTTCGTAAGCGTGAAGAAATTAAAGGCGTGATTCAAATAATATTATTTGATCCATTTTTAAGCTTACTCGTTTCTTTATACAGTTTCATATAATCTGATAAATGTTAATATTTAAATTTATCATAAATTGTCACATTGGCGTATATATCTATGTACGTGGCGATCACCAGGCGATAACAAACAGGTCTCAATATAAAGCTTTCAGTGACGGTCAAGTAGTTTAATAGCAGCATTTTACCTGAAATAAAATGCATATTAAAATACTTACCTCACTGAAAGCTTTCACTTTAAATTCTGCCTGGTGAAATAATTGAGCCAATGATTTAATATGGCGCTGTCAAAACTTAGGAAAACAAATATGGCCGCGCTTCTGCCAGGTGTCGCCACTGGACCGGATACAAAGTGAATAAAAGTACGGAAACTGATGGTAATTCGACGGGAAACGGAAGTGCTATCTCAATATAAAGCTTTCAGTGAGGTAAGTATTTTAATATGCATTTTATTTCAGGTAAAATGCTGCTATTGATTTTGTGAAGCCTAGTAGCAGGTAAAGTTAGTTTATTTTTGTTTCTTGTATTAAGTGTGTGAACATCACTGTTTTTAAGAAACAAATTAATATTTTTTCTTACATGATATATAACTTACCGCTCCACGGTTCATATGATATTGCAGCACCTACAGTAGCGGGGCCTCGCGGCGCCCCCCGCCACCGGGGGCGTCACGGGGGCGAAGTACGCGTGCACTTTGATATTGGGCAAGTGGTTCTGTCGACAATATGGCACATTATAATGTATTTGTGACAATATGGCGCATCACAGTGACAGATGACAGACAGTGACATTTTTTTGTGTGTGTATGCTGTTGGTCGCAGATGACCTTTACAGCGTCACCGGGTTTGAGAACGGCGAGATCCTAAGAGGACCTCAAGCCGAGAATTGGCGAGTGCCTCTAGAGATATTCCAGACGGATGGCATCTCCCCGCGGAGGGAGTCTCCTCACCGTCTGAAGCCTCTAGACCACTCAGATAGTGACAGATTATGTTTCCTATCTATATAAGGAGCCATCCATAAAATACGTCACACGTTAAGGAGGAGGGAGGGGGTCGACGAAGTGTGACATCGTGTGACAAGGGGTGGGACGGGTCCTAAGTTTCGTGACGTCACATTTCAAAATATAATTCTTCCTTTTGAACTATTATCAAAAATCTTTAAAATATGCAGATCCCTATCTGTATGGGGTTTCATTTGTTTTTTTGAATAATTTTCGGAACTTATTTCGGAACTACTGTATTAATAATAATTTCTAAATTCAAAATATGTGACGTCACACTTAGGCGGGAGCGGGGGGGGGGGGGGGGGGGTCACTAGTAAAAAATCTCGTAATTAGTGTGATGTGCTTTATGGATGACCCCTAGCATCATTTGAATATGTCTAGGGCTAGTGGTTCTGTGGACAATATGGCGCATTATAATGTATTTATCGGTCTTATACTGTAATTTGTATCATTATATGTATTCTATCCGTTACCCTAGTATCCCATAACACAAGCCTACAGTGCTTACTTTGGGGCTAGGCTACTTGGTGTGAATGTTGGTAATATTTATTTGTGACAATATGGCGCATTATAATGTTTTTGTGACAAATTGGCGCATTAAAATGTAGTTGTGACAATATGGCGCATTAAAATGTAGTTGTGACAATATGGCGTATTATAATATATTTGTGACAATATGGCGTATTATAATGTATTTGTGAAAAGATGTTTTTGTGACAATACGGCGCATTATAATGTTTTTGTGACAATATGGCGCATTATAATGTATTTTTGACAGTGACAGATCATGTTTCTTATCTATATAGCATCATTTGAAAACGTCTAGAGCTCAGTTTTTGCTTGTGTAAAATTAATTTTGTAATTGTTTTTAGTCTTATATTATTTCTGCATATCATGCCGTATGCACACATTATTGAATTGTACTCTAGACCAAACTTTTTTTTACCATCATACCATGTAACGATGCAATCTGTTTTGTGTACCTAATAAATAAATAAAAAGTTTGAAAACCTCTGAGAAAACAAGTAAGAAGATCAATTCAAATGAGATGTAGATTGTAGATGTAGATTTTTTTTAACTTACCCTCAACTTTCGTATAGCGTTTCTGGTCACCAACTGACAATCATATAGCTCAATGAGCTGTAGATTGTGACACGAGGTGAGATGTTCTAACGCGTCGTCTGTCACTAAAGGACAGTTGTCGAGACCTAAAAAAACAATACAAACTTAGAACTACTTAAGTAATGTACATGATAAAGATATTTGATATATAATTTTAACGAAGTAATAAAAAAAAAATTCATGGCATACCTCTATATTATATTAAAAATTCCGAGTGTGAAAATTGTATATTAATATCTATAGTTTTTAAATTGTAAAATATATCTATTTTTAATTTTAATTTTGGTAAGATGCATGTTTAATAATTGAATTGAATTTTTTTTATAATATATTTGATTGTTTGTTTAAATAATAATAATAATTTAAGTAAAATTGCAACGCCCTTGCAGGGTGTCACATGTTTGTACAGGTTATTTTAATGTTGTTTTTTGTACTATCTGTGGCATGCAATAAAGAATAAATAAATGAATTATACTATGTAGATGCACTAACTACCTATACGGTCGTCAAGACCGTGAGAAAGTCCTCGCAGTAACAGAGTAACTTGTAAAGGGCACTGTATTGTACACGCGTCTTTCTTATCTTATATAAATATAAAATTCTCGTGTCACAATGTTAGTTACCATACTCCTCCGAAACGGGCTGGCCGATTTTTATGAAATTTTATGTGCACATTCCGTGGGTCTGAGAATCGGCTAACCTACAATACGCCTTCACGCCAAAATTCAAACTATTGGGTATTCTAACGTAGTGTTCTCATATGGGTTAGCAGGAATGTTATCCCAGGAAATTGATAGAACACTACGTTACACACCCCTAAAATGTTTTTGGACAACATTTATTTTTTTATTATGTGGTATTAAAAAATACATACAACCCTAAATTTTCTCTTCTACCACCTGCCCCTATTTTTATGGCGCTACGAAGTTCGCTGGGTCAGCTAGTAAAATATATTTTCACACTTCAATTGGTTTCAATTTGGACTCTCCATAAATATTAGTTACTTGGTGACCCCAAACCTCCGCTACGTTCTCCGCCAAAAACTTCTATATATGTAGCAGCGACATCTACATGCCCCACATATAACCAACATGGAGAAAATAATCACTCGCCTCCTCTAGAGATGGCACTACCGGCGCAAAGCTCACAACGTAAGGGAGCCTACATCGCGCAAGTGAAATTCAGAGGTTAACACTCCATATATACAATGCCCGACCAACATCAGTTGGGCCGTGGCCCTTGAGCTACCATCACCCAGCTCGGAGAAAGATCTTCCTCTTTGGACTTCCTACACTGGTGACTCCAACGTGATACTTAACAAAAGGTTGCTTATTGCTCAAAGTTAGAACTTATAGTTATAATAAAAAAATTGAAAGATTTCCATGGCGCAGGTGGTTAGCGCTTTTGGCCTGCGCTCGTAGAAGTTAATCAAATTTCGCAATGGCCTGTGATTGGATGGGTGACCGAAACTTATTAACATCTCTCACTCCTGCGTGCTTCGGAAGCCGTTGGTCCCGGCTGCATCTGCATTCCACCCACACCCACCAATCCGCACTGGGCCCGCGTAGTGGGCTATGGCCCAATCTCCCTATTCCATCCATAGGGAAGGCCTGTGCCCCAGCAGTGGGGACATTAATAGGCTGTTTATGATGATAACCGGGAAATCTCCAAGAGGCAATCACCAATGTGAAGGCCCTGGGGGCGTTCCTGATGCAGCTGGGCTGGCTGGAGTGATTCCGGCAAGGAAAAACAGGCGCCATAAGGACGTCGAGTTGAGGAAACGCCCGTTGCAAGAACAAGCAGAAGAAGTTACTCACCTAGTACTGTAAGATGTTCTGCAGCGCAAGGAGACATTGATAACTGTTTAATACCGTAGTCGGTAATCAACTCACAATGTGATAATGTCTGTGGAAAAAACAGATTAAAATCAGTTATATATTTTTAACAAGCTGTGCCCCGCGGCGTTACCCGCGGTTTATTAAGGATATTTTCCCGCAGTAAAACGTAGTCTATGTGTTAATCCAGGGTGTCAGCTAACTCCATACCAAACTTAATTAAAATCGCTCCAGCCGTTTAGACGTGAAGAAGTAACAAACATACACACTCACACTCATAAACTTTCGCCTTTATAATATTGATGTGATTAGAAACCAATTCCAAATATGACGATATCAATTTATCAGAAATCAATATATCTTTATTCAAATTGGATGTATATAGGGTGAAATTGAATGTTTCTATGAAACTTCGTGAGATTGTTGGGTTATGTGTATAGAGTATGCCTGTTTTTTTCGGATTTTTTGAAGTATATTTTTTTCATGTATTTATTTATAATTCGTGTATTTTTATGTCCTTTCCTCCTTTTGAGTAGTTATTCATTTTAAACAAACAAACTTACATATCCAGTGAAAAACAACTAATATATAAGCATTTCTAAAAAACGGAAAAACATTAAAATTCCACCGCGGGTCAACGACCGACCGCGCCCGCCAGCCGTTGAGTGAGTAGGTACCTACCTCTACACAGAGCTCAGCTGACTCGTTTAATTCCACACAATACAATAAAATCGTCTTAGATGCCTTTATTGAAATTGAAATAATAAGCACAAATGTCATCTTCTCTTAAGCAGAGAAAAACTTTAAAAGTTAATAATAATTTTGTCACGATTGGAAATAGGCAAATGTTAAACAAAAAGAAATACTTATTGCAGTTCAATACTTGGGTCAGAATGAAATTTATAACCAGGTATTCAAAAGTACTTACGAGACCGGCGATGTAGGTAGGTACAACGAGGAACGAGGAACATATTCATTTTTTTCACTAGAACTTTTTATCAAATCAATCACACTGGTAGTACACAATTAGTTGTTTCTAATCAAAAAGTATTTACACTAGCAATAAAAAGAGACTTAAATTATTATCTGCAAAATTGTTGCTCTAAACCACCATTTTGCTGCAAACAAAGGTAGGCATGTTTGCGGACGTGTCTTTTCACCTTTTTTAAAGTGTCCCTATCACTACTCACTGCACAAAATGCAACTTCTATGGTTTGGGGACTCATTCGTAAACCAAACCTACTTCGTCACACTCGCGATAGCAGTACACCATCTCTAAATATTCTTGCTTCGTATACCGAGGCATAATGAAATTATCACAGTGTATGTCACTAAGTCAAAAGATGCGCACGCTCACGAGCGATTGATATACTTGCGACTGCGTTTTGCATGCAATCAAAGCAAACCACCGCGTGCGGGGAAGAGGGGAGGTGGGCGGAATTCACATCATCAAAGACGCCGCAACCGGCGCTAGTTGCCAGCGTGCGGCGCGCCGCCCGCCCGTGCTTGCCGCAAAACAACATATTGTTATGTGTGTGTGTGTGTGTGTGTGTGTCACTGTGGCTGTGATTAAATGTGTTGGGAATTTCATGACGTGGGCAAATCAGACACGAAGAGTTCCTTCATTCACTAAGCTCGTAAGTTATACCGATTTGCTCTGTATGATTTTCCCCAATTTTAAATAAGCCGTTTGTGTTTAAGTTTTAATTAAACGAGGCAACTAACATTAACAATAAAAAAGAAGTTCTTACACTAACAGACACGGTTTACCGACCGGCGCTGATCTCGACTGGAGGCATAATGAAGGCATTCATTAAGTTTCCGTTTTTTTAGTAGTGCTTATTTTAAGTTGCTTTATAACTTCTATGTAGGCGTGTTTAAAATGAATAATTACTCATAAGGAAGAAATGACAAAAAAATAACCAAATAAAAAATTAAAATCCGAAAAAAATCAGGCATACTCTATAGACGTAACCCAACAATCTCAGGAATTTTCATAGAAACATTCAATTTCACCCTGTATAGTACAACTCTTTTGTATCGTCCAAAAATTTTTTTTTACCCTGCTACTCGTTAGTGGACATATCTTTTCCCCACGGAGAAAAACGAGCGATTCCAACTCCACAACATTAAAATAATAATGTAACAACATTAACAAATCATTCTGTTGTTACAACGTCAATAAACATGATTTATTTCATACAAAAACCTATTGGAATGATTGGAACAGTTCAAACACAAGAATTTTTGACTGTAATATAATCAGACACTTTGTAATATGATTTTTTATCTTAAAGGTTAAATCCTTACAACTAAATTTATATAGAAGGAGCTGGACGGCGCGGGTGATTAGCGCGTTCGGCTGTGATCGTTAAGCAACTTTCGCAGTGGTCAGTCATAGGATGGGTGACCAAAAATCTTCTATCTCGAGTTCCTCCGTGCTTCAGAAGGCACGTTAAGCCGTTGGTCCCGGCTGCATCTGCAGTCGTTAGCACCCGCCAATTCGCACTGGGCCCGCGTGGTGGGTCATGGCCCAATCTCCCTATTCCATCCAAAGGGGAGGCCAGGCAAGACAAAAGTCTTCTCTAATGGGAAGCCCGAAGACAATAGTAGAGGCCTACAGTAACATTCGGGGACTGCTGAGCTTTCTGGAGGAGCTGGGATGGCAGGACTGAGGCCAATCCCAACGCAAAATAGGCACTGGGTGTCGTTGCAAAAACAGCCCGCTGTTCTACTAAGAAGACTAAGACAAGGGGAGGCCTGTGTCCCAGCAGTGGGGAAAATAGGCTGATGATGATGATGAAATTTATATAAAATGTCTTACCAGTTTTTCTAATCTCGGACATCCCATAGCTAGATGTACTAACGTAGAGTCGGTTATTAGAACACACTCTTCCAAGTCCATTCTCTCCAATAATCTACAGCTCTGTGAACAATATAAGGCACCTATAATAACTGTTCAATAAAGGTACTTTAAAAAAATCGACGGGTTGCACTCCGGGAGTGCCGGCAGAAGTGAATATTAACGTTGTGCATCTTTGATATTTTGGAATGGTTAGGGAATAATGTTGCACGATGTTCAATCTTTAATTATCAGTATAAAAGTACTATCATTTATGTGGTAGAATACAATATTTATTTATCGTACACAAACATGACAATTTATATTACATTAAAAGTTTATCTCTCAGAATTACTCATTTAAGCGCACCTAGCGACATCTATTGTAAAAAAATGCATTTTCTTCGCAATAAAGCTGCCACCTGGACGTCCTAGATACAGACTTATTATTATAATACGATAAAATAAAATATTACTATGTTTCGTCCAATATATTGAAAGTCAACAACCTTTCCAATTTTATTGTGTGTCATGATGCGATCAGCCCACGTGTATAACCTGACGTGAGTTTAACATTTTTTAACCATACAAAAAAAGTGTACAACGCCGCTAAAGAAGTTTTCACTTCAAAAATTATAAGAATATAGTTACTCACCTTAGCCAACGCTTGGAAACCAGCATCAGTCAGTTGGCTGCACAAAGCCAACTCTAAGGTAACCAATTCCGGACATCTTGCCGCCAAAGCGGACAGTGACGCGTCCGTCAGTCGCGTACAACCGGACACGCATAGGCGACGCATAGCCGGACCGAGGCGGGATATTGAGTCATCGGATAAACTCTACGCGAAACAAAATATATAAATCTTAATCGTATTAACAACTAGACTTCGTCTGTGTAAAAAATGGGTTTTAATACAAACTTCCACGCCCCCTTATTATCCACTTAAAGGATGATTTTAGAGATTAAAACTATAGCATGTCTTTTCCCGAGACTCAAACTATATCTATTTTCACTTATTTATTTATTTGTGGTACATAGGTAATACATGGTTATTATGCAACTACGACCAGCCATCAGGCATACAAATATAGAATTAATAACGGTACTTTTAATTATACTACATAAAAAAACAATTAAAATAAAATGTCATCATAACAATAATTGTCAGTAATCTTAATTAAACTTCTAATCGTTTATTTAAATCCATATCCATCAGATACTCATTATTATACTACATAAAAAAAAAAACAATTACAATAAAATTAAATACAAAAGTCATCACAATATTTAATGTCATCTATACTAAATTTCTTAGAAATCTGTTCAGTTCAATTTCGGACATCTTGCCGCCAAAGCGGACAGTGACGCGTCCGTCAGTCGCGTACAACCGGACACGCATAGGCGACGCATAGCCGGACCGAGGCGGGATATGGAGTCGTCGGATAGACGAAAAACCAAAAATAAAAATTGTTTTCCCGTACAAACTTCCACATCCCTAGCTGATGATTTCTAGGTTAAAGGTTTTTCTATGTTTTCCCCAGTACTCAAACTGTATCTATACAAAATTTCATTGAAATCTGTTCAGTAGTTTATGAGTAATTGAGTAACAAACACACAAACATTGAAGGACCTCAGAGACGCGTCCGTCGGTCGCGTACAACCGGACACGCATAGCCGGGACATAGAGTATCTTACGTAGACTCTACGTGAGATGAAAGGGAATATATAAATCTTAATTATACAAAGAACTAGACTTCGTCTGCATAAAAAATGGGTTTTCATACTAATTCTATCTTATGTCCTTTCCAGGGACTCAAACTAGACTCGGCGTAAAAAAAATCGCACCTCCGCGTAAATAACTTTCAAGCGTTATTACAACCCTTAACACACGCATTTAACCCCACTAATATAGGTGTCATTTCAAAGCCCATTAAATAAACTTAAAAAAAACCCATTTCATTTCATTAAAACATGTTCTAGTAGTTTTTGCGTAATTGACTAACAAACACACAAACAGAGAAGTATCTCAGAGACGCGTCCGACAGCCGGCAAATGTAAAAGGAGTGGTCTTCTTCTAATACAGATAACTTAACTCAAAAGAAGAAGACCCACACCATGTAAACTTTGATGTAAAAGAATAATAAAGATTTTGTATTTTTTTGTATGTTGCCAGTGTGTTATTATAAACTAACTACTTACATCGCATCCTTGCACGTTAAGCACCTCCAAGTTAGGACAATAAGTTGCGAGGCAGGAAACCGCCTTGTCGTTAACATTCTTGCAGCCTGTGTAAAATCCAAGAAAAATATCGGTGTCGATTCTGGCATGACTCTAAATATAAATTTGACAACAATGTATCCTTGTCATACACTGTACAGAATGAGAAGGGGAGACTGCTGTTACATTTAATTTCAATTTTAGAGAATCATGCCAGAATCGAAACCATTATATACTTATACTAGCTGTCCCCGAGAACTTCGTACAAACATAAGATCAACATTTACCGTGTTAGTATATATATATATATATATCTCAGAATTAGAATTTATTTATTTGCATTTGAATATGGTACACTGGGGATCTTACAATTTTGAACTTCGGCCCATTCAGCCATCGAAAATAGCATGCAAATATTTAACAAAACATTAATAAACCTAATACATATTAATTTACATTGTGACATTATGTTTCAATATCAATAATAAGATTTAAATTCATCAAATTAATAATAAGTCAGTGAAATTACAAAAAGTGTCAGATTAATTTTATAAAACGTCATTCAAGATTAAATACATGGTTAAAATATTCAAAAGACAAAATAATAATGTCAAATATAGATTACAATGTCAATTATTAAATTTTTTTATGCAAAATAGGCAATGCGTTTGACCACAATCTCACCTGATGGAAAGCGATAATGAGGCCTAGGATGGTACACGCCTGCCTAGAAGATGCATGTTCACTCTGGACTTGAAGATTTCCAGATTATATTGGTCCGGGAAAACAGACCATTATACAGCACCATTAGATAAAGAGAAGAACTCACCTCTACATATGAAGCTCCTCAGTTTGGGGCACTCTCTAGCCAATGCCTCTACTCCGTTTTCAGTGATAGATTGACACCACGACACATTCACGTGTGTCAATAGCTGAGAACAAACGAAAAACATTGAATTCCTTTCAAGCTATACATAATATACATAGTATTGTCGATTTTAGCATGATTCATCAAATTTGTTTCTTAGGTTTTCACGCACATCACTCATTAAATAAAACTAGTTTTTACGGGTTAATGCACGAAACTTTATTTATTTATTGACGTTTCGTAGCCTTTACAGGCTTCGTCGTCAGAATAAAACTTTTATTTAATTTGTCGAGCTACCTTCGAGAGACTTTTATTGAGCGTTTGGTTATTTCATTGTTCGATTTTTAAGTTTTATTGTCTATGTATGAATTTATTATTTAATTTACTTAATAAAGTATTTTATTTAAAATTGTTGTTTGTAATTTTGAGTTTATTTATTTGACCCTAACTACTGTAAACTACCACCGGTTCCAAAATTGGGAGACCTTCCTGAGAAGAACCGGCGAAACAAACTCAAGAGAGGCTTTCTATCTCCTTCTTATGTTAAATTATGCAAACAAAAAGAACTAATAGTATCTGATGGTCTTGCAGTGTGTGCTCGGGGTTGGGATTTTATCTCACACAGTTTGTGAACATGCATTAGGGGGACCAAACCACTACATTAGATTTGATAGACCACAGATCCTTGCAGCTGTGCGGCGGTTCGTTCCTCGAATGATGCGCGAGGCTATTGAGATTAAAAAATATCCAAATTTCAATAGGGGAGATGGTTGGTATATACCACCAGCTTGGGAACCTATTATACAGGAGATAAAATCCCAACCCCGAGCACACACTGCAAGACTATCAGATACTATTAGTTCTTTTTGTTTGCATAATTTAACATAAGAAGGAGATAGAAAGCCTCTCTTGAGTTTGTTTCGCCGGTTCTTCTCAGGAAGGTCTCCCAATTTTGGAACCGGTGGTAGTTTACGGTAGTTAGGGTCAAATAAATAAACTCAAAATTACAAACAAGAATTTTAAATAAAATATAAAGTATTTTATTTAAAATTAGATAATAAATTCATACATACACAATAAAACTTAAAAATCGAACGATGAAATAACCAAACGCTCAATAAAAGTCTTTCGAAGGTAGCTCGACAAATTAAATAAAAGTTTTATTCTGACGGCGAAGCCTGTAAAGGCTACGAAACGTCAATAAATAAATAAAGTTTCGTGCATTAACCCGTAAAAACTAGTTTTATTTAATGATTCATCAAACTTACTGTGGCCACTATTCCTACACGAACAAAGACACGATTTGGTGACTCATATCTTTGTCGTACTATTCGTAAGTGGAATTCTTTACCCGCGCAAGTGTTCCCTCCTTCCTATAATCTGGGGTCCTTTAAGAGAGGCGTGAAGAAGCATTTCTGCAGGCCGGCAAGGTGAGGATGGTTGGTGTAGCAGTTTATAACTGCTGTACCAGCTATCTTCGCGTTTGGACTTTATCACCAATTAACATCAGGTGGGGTAGAGTCATTTGCCTACCTCTGTATAAAAAAAAACTTAAAATTAAATTTAACCTCATTCTGTCTTTTTCATTCTGGTTAGAGAATGACAAGAACATAGTGTTTTCAAATCTAATTTTAGGTTTAAAGATTCAAACCGGAATCGACATCGTTATGTATTCAAAATGGAACTTATAAAATAACTCCTTTGAATACGTCTGGACTTCATCGTCACTTAACATCAGGTAGGGTGGAGTCATTCGTCGGAGCTATCTATAAGAAAAAAAAAACCTTTTTCCTACCACAATCCAGGGCTTATTTAAGCTTACATTTTTAAGGTTCCGTGCATCGAAAGCTAAAAAGCGGAACCCTTATAGGATCACTTGGTTGTCCGTCCGTCCGTCTGTCAAGACCCTTTTTTACTAATATTGAAACTGCCATTGCCACAGCAATAGAGCAAAACAAAAACATCATTTTCACCAGCATTTAATTGGTTATAATTTTTAAGCATGTAACTGCTCGATGTTTAAATCTACAGAAAATATTAATAGAAAATATCTCGCACCCTTCGCTATCCGGGCGAATGCACTGCCTAATTATGCTACCGCGGCCCTGCGAAGAGATGGCGCTGCCTTGCTACTTAGGAAAGGCTAGAAGGAATAGGGTATTTGACAGTATTAAAAATAAAGTGTCAATTCTTAGCATCTGTGTTTAGAATGAATATTGGCAGGATTTCTTACTATTTTTACAGAAAAAATATTCATAATTTTACTAAAAACCCACGATAAAGATAATAGTTTTCTTGTCTATTGTCACGTGACCCAAAACGCTTGGGATTGGTGGAGGCTAAAATGACGTCAAACGCAAGTAAAGTTCCGGTTAAAGTGACATTTGATTGTATGGTTTGACGTTTTAATGACAGTCGTGTGACGTCACACACCAGTGAGACGCCATATTGTCCAGAGATACGTTTTTCGCGGCAACTTGAAAATAGAGTTTTTGATTTGGTTTTTTTACCGAAATACACAACATAATGATGAATATCCACTTTTTATGGGCTCTATAAACATTATTAAATAACGTGAGATCGTTTTCTACAACTTGTCAAATACCCTATTCGATACGGCCGTCAGGGCCGCGGTAGCATAATTAGGCAGTGCATTCGCCCGGATAGCGAAGGGTGCGGGTTCGAATCCCTTCTGCTGCCTGATCCGCGTGGAATATTTTTGCTAGTAATATTTTCTTTAGATTTAAGTATTTATTTGATTGACTTCTTTAAGCATGACTGTAACTTATTCCTAGACTTAAATACCATTTTGCTTTGCAGTTTCTCAGATTTATTACACAAAATTTTAAATGCTATTATGTTCATTGTATCATCAGCTTGAGACCTATTTTCGACTAAGATAATATTTGACTTATTTAGATAATCTTCTCTTTGATATTTACTAACATTTTATTATATACAAACTCCTAAAATAATATTTTATTTAAAAGCACAAAATGGCTTAAAACTACTAAATAAATAAATGCTATTTAATACTCAACTTTATATTCTTAGATTTAAGAAGCATTGTACGAGACGACCGCCTTACGACCGAAGCGAGAGAAAATGAACTTACAACGATACGAGAGCAATGTATAAAAATGTATCTATAATTTCACATGAATTAGTTGTATACGCATTAAAAATATCATTCCCTTGTTGTCTTATTAGAATGAGTCGGATATCGTAACAATAGATAGCTCTGCCCATAGTAAACCATTGTAAAATTGATAGTTCAGAGCGATATTCCGCCCCGTTCTCTCCAATAATCTTATAAGACTTTATCTAAACGATCGCCACGACGCCAAGCGGTGGCGCGGGGAAACTAGTCAGAATACTGATAGTTCCGACCTATAGGAGGGACGGAGACAATAGGTTGTCCTTGTCACACGTCTTATAGGATTTTGCCTGAGTTGACAATTTTCGATAATAGTATATTTTATGTTTGGATTGATTTATTTTATGTCTTATTAGATAGTAGGTAGTTATAGGAATAATATATCGAAGTTTTGTATGAATCGTGTTAGTAGTTTAAGCGTAATTAAGGAAAATATCGGGAATAGTTTTTTATGAATAGTCAATAGGATATAGGTATAATTGTTATAATAATGATGTCATTTTATGTGTTTTTACTTCTTCTTTAAAATGGTGTATGATAATTAGACATTAAGCGAGTATAAGTAGGTTTTTTAAGACTTTTTAATTTGCAAACTTTATAGGGCCGTAGAGCTGTTGTTTATTAATATTCTTGTAAGAAACTTGTTGTATTAGATAGGTAACACGTAGGGCTACGTAAATAAATAGGTATCGCATCAATAAGTGTAAAAATGTACTGTGTAGGAGAAGAAACATGTTTGTATAGAACCGTTTTCTGAGACATGTTGCGCTCCCCACCCGGCGCGCCCGGAGCGCGCGGGTGGGGCAGCGAAGCCCCGTGGCAGGGCGAAGCCCTATGGAGGGGGAAAGTATAAATATTGCGGAGACCTATTTTTTGCGCGCCACACCTAAAATATCGTGTTTACGGACACATAACTATGTTAAAAATATGCCCAAATGTATGCCCGATGTATGTACAATTAGTTTTAAGCTCGCACTATTGTAAATTTTGAGAAAATGAAAAATAAAGTATAGCGTGGGTGAGGTAATGGATCGCTGGCCAGCTCAGTCCTAGCATATAAAATTCGAGTCGGAACATGCCCCGACATGCATTCAGCGACAGGCGCTCCTACCCTAAGGAACAGGAAGAAACAACCAAGCGGTTCACTCTGGACAACATCAGCTCCTCTCAGCGGCCATCTATTCGAGCTGTACCCGGCGTCCCGTACATTTTTTGGTCGCATCGAGCCGGATCTACAGCGCCGAGGAAGAATTGAAGAAAAATTATAGAAGATTGAAGAAAGAAGATCGTCGTGGTCAATTATAGAAGATTGAAGACAGAAAATTGAAGAAAAATTATAGAAGATTGAAGAAAGAAAAATGCCACGAACAAGATCTCAAGCTGACAAAATGGACCAGGCCGAAGAGGAGCGCATCGAGAGAAGCATCGAAGAGCCAGAGCGAACCGCTGCAGGAGAGAATCCTGTCCAACCCCCGTCAAGAGCGCCATCGGAAGGGAGCGACACCGTGACGCGGCCACCGTACCCGCTGCGCCACGACCAACCGCCGAAGTCGCCATCAGCTGCAATGACATCACACCGAACAGAATCGAAGATAGCTGCACGAAGAGCAGCAAAGAAGAAGCGCCTGGCGGCGTTATATGAAGAATTAGAGAAGACTATAAGGGCGAAGATACGAATGGAAGAGCAAGATAGCGAAGATGAGGACCAAGAGGACCCGCAAATAGAAGATAGAAGAGAAACCGATAGCACACATGGCACCGAGAATGAAGAACGCGTCATCACCTGGCTGGACACAGCGACAAAGGACACCACCCCCGACGGCGGCACCACCGAACCGTATAGAAGACCGACCGTCGAGGACACCGTACAGATTGGTGGGTCCGTCGCCCCACTTGCCGAAGATCCAGTCCCAGGGGCGCTGAAGCCATGCATTAAGAAGAGTCCGCCGTCCCGCATTGATGAAGCTCAAGAACAAGTCGCCCCTACGTTGCCGCCACCGCCACCGCCGGTCCAGCAAGACAGAATGAACGTCTCCGAGCTGGCCGTCGCAATCAACGCCGCCGTCCGTGCCGCCGTACCGCCTGCACCGGGTCCACGCTACGTCGGAGAGCTGCCACCCTTCAGCGGCGCGCACACAGAATGGCTCACCTTCAGGGCGGCGTACCTAGAATCCGCAACCTACCTATCGTCAGCGGAAAACTCATCAAGATTAAGAAGAGCCCTCAAGGGGAAGGCAAGAGAAGCCGTGGGCAGCATGCTAATAAGCAACACTACGCCGGGCGACATTATGAAGCAATTGGAACACAGATTCGGCCGCCCGGACAACATCGCCGCAACCGAAATAGAAAAGCTGCGCCATTTACCCCGACTCACCGATTCGCCGAGGGACATCGTGATTTTTGCAAACAAAATCAAGAATAGCGTCGTCGCACTACAAGTACTGGGGCAAAACGAGTACCTACGTGCGCCGGACATCATGAAGACAATTATAGAAAAGCTGCCGTCGACTATCCGCTTCAGATGGAACGATTACGTCAACAATCACCGAATGCAAGAAAAAATGAAGACGGATCCGGAACTATTGATTTTCGCCGAGTTCATCGAAGTCGAGGCAGAGAATAACGCAAGATACGCCCCACCGGAATACATCGGGAGTGAAGAACACTCTACTTCGCAAAGAAGATTTCGAGCACACAGCATAGAAGGTCAAGAAAGAAAAAACATCGAAGATAGAAATAGAAGATATTACGTCGAAGACGTCCCGTGCCCTGTCTGCGCGGAACTAAAACATACACCGGTCGACTGCGCAACACTGAAGGCCGCTAACCGAGAACGCCGCTGGGAAATAGCGAAGCAGAGCAACCTGTGCTACAAGTGCCTACAGTACAGAAACAGAACACACAACTGCGCGCCGCGCGCGTGCAACAGAGATGGCTGCGAACGCACTCATCATCCGCTACTTCACTTCAAACCGAAAATCGATCAAGAAGAGGAGTCGCCACCGCATCGAATAGAAAAAATAGAAACCGAACGAGTAGCCAGCACACACAGCAGCCGCAAGCGCGACGCGTACCTCAAGATAGTTCCAGTACGCATCACCGGACCGCGAGGTCATTTCGATACCTACGCACTGCTCGACGACGGCTCCACCGTGACACTAATAGAAGAGCGAGCCGCCGAGAAGATAGGCGCCGACGGGCCAACCGAAGAGTTCCAGATCGAAACCATAGACGCCGAGCTGCCCGAAACACAATCGAGACGAGTCACCTTCAACATCGAGGGACAGACGGAGGGCTTCGACATAGAAGCGCGCACTATTCGGCGCATGAAGATTTCATCGCAAACGGTCGAGCCACATTGCCTACGTGACTGCAAGCACCTCCGAGATATAGAAAAACATCTCGTATACGAAGACGCCCGTCCCACCATTTTGATCGGCCAAGACAATTGGGACCTCCTTATCGCCAGCGAAGTCCGAAGAGGAAACCGAAAACAGCTCGCCGCATCGAAAACCGCGCTCGGATGGGTCCTTCACGGCACACAAGCGCGCAACACCATAGAAAAAGTCAACATCGTAAATCGCCCGAAGATAGAAAATCGACCGAAGATCGAAAATCGACCGAAAATAGAAAATCGACCGAAGAACGAAAACCGAAAAATCGACCATCAACCATTATCGAAGACAAATAGAAGAGCGGACGCGCACATAGAAATTCGCACCAAGCACGCGCCGCCACGAAGTCGAAAAGCACCGCCACCGGGTCAGCATAGCGGCGGGAGCACGAAACACACTGCGAAACAGAGAAGAAATCGCCCAGCTCGCTATACCTACAGCGGCGAGCCGCGAGTTCATCGACCTCGGCCGCCCGCGCCACCGGCGGGAGCCCCGAGGTGGCATCGTATCGATCGCAACAGAGAAAATCGCCGGAGATCGCCGTATAGACAAGAAACGCAGAATCGTTATCGCCAACCAATTCGGGCGAAACGCGACTACACGAGTCATCAACCTTATCGAGATTGGAGGAGCACTACGTCGACCTTCGGAGCGGCTGGTGGTGCATACAACATCATCGGTCGCCTCTCCCACGGTGATTGGATGCAGCGACGAGTCAACCGACGCTGCACGGCGGGAGTATGTACGAGACGACCGCCTTACGACCGAAGCGAGAGAAAATGAACTTACAACGATACGAGAGCAATGTATAAAAATGTATCTATAATTTCACATGAATTAGTTGTATACGCATTAAAAATATCATTCCCTTGTTGTCTTATTAGAATGAGTCGGATATCGTAACAATAGATAGCTCTGCCCATAGTAAACCATTGTAAAATTGATAGTTCAGAGCGATATTCCGCCCCGTTCTCTCCAATAATCTTATAAGACTTTATCTAAACGATCGCCACGACGCCAAGCGGTGGCGCGGGGAAACTAGTCAGAATACTGATAGTTCCGACCTATAGGAGGGACGGAGACAATAGGTTGTCCTTGTCACACGTCTTATAGGATTTTGCCTGAGTTGACAATTTTCGATAATAGTATATTTTATGTTTGGATTGATTTATTTTATGTCTTATTAGATAGTAGGTAGTTATAGGAATAATATATCGAAGTTTTGTATGAATCGTGTTAGTAGTTTAAGCGTAATTAAGGAAAATATCTGGAATAGTTTTTTATGAATAGTCAATAGGATATAGGTATAATTGTTATAATAATGATGTCATTTTATGTGTTTTTACTTCTTCTTTAAAATGGTGTATGATAATTAGACATTAAGCGAGTATAAGTAGGTTTTTTAAGACTTTTTAATTTGCAAACTTTATAGGGCCGTAGAGCTGTTGTTTATTAATATTCTTGTAAGAAACTTGTTGTATTAGATAGGTAACACGTAGGGCTACGTAAATAAATAGGTATCGCATCAATAAGTGTAAAAATGTACTGTGTAGGAGAAGAAACATGTTTGTATAGAACCGTTTTCTGAGACATGTTGCGCTCCCCACCCGGCGCGCCCGGAGCGCGCGGGTGGGGCAGCGAAGCCCCGTGGCAGGGCGAAGCCCTATGGAGGGGGAAAGTATAAATATTGCGGAGACCTATTTTTTGCGCGCCACACCTAAAATATCGTGTTTACGGACACATAACTATGTTAAAAATATGCCCAAATGTATGCCCGATGTATGTACAATTAGTTTTAAGCTCGCACTATTGTAAATTTTGAGAAAATGAAAAATAAAGTATAGCGTGGGTGAGGTAATGGATCGCTGGCCAGCTCAGTCCTAGCATATAAAATTCGAGTCGGAACATGCCCCGACATGCATTCAGCGACAGGCGCTCCTACCCTAAGGAACAGGAAGAAACAACCAAGCGGTTCACTCTGGACCTGAAGCCTCCTCTCACCGGCCATCCATTATCAGCGCCCACCGATTTCTTCAATACCGAACACCAGGGGTTTTATTCGCCGAAACTACAGTCCACTACAGTCAAGACTCCTGCGTGTAACTTCCTCCACCCCCTCAGTACGAGTCGGTAACTGTCCGCTACTGCGACAGCCCGGCGTCCCGTACAAGCATTTTGCTTTGCAGCGTCTCATACATTTTGGGCTACAATGAACTCTATGTACAAAGATATAGGTATTATTTTCCTTTACATGATCTTTGATTTTTTGAACTTAAATATAATTCAATACTTACTGAACATCCATCTGCGAGCGCCTTCAAAGATATGTCTGTTATACTAGGGCACGAGTCAAGGTTTATCCTGAAAAGAATACCTTAATTCAATACGCATAAGAACTACAATCGTTTGACAAGGAAAATTAACAAATTGATAGGAACCCGAAAAAACAGTAACTTTTTTTAAAATGGTAGCACGGACCAATCATCTAAATTGAAACTTCTTTTCTTAAATATCCTAACATTAGGCGGTGCATAAGGCATAGGGGAATGGAGCAGCGCACGCATCACCCATATATATGTATTTATATACAGGGTGTCTCATTTAAATCGGTCATGTATGGGAAATTCTGAAACTATAAGACATACGAAGATTTGTTTTTAGGAACCATGTCATCGATTTTAATAACGAGAAAAACTAAATTTATACATTTAAAAAAAGCTGTACTCAGCTCGGGAATCGAACCCGGTTGTTTTAAAAAATAAAAACATGTACTATTTCTATTTAAATATCGATTGTGTAGGTCTTAAGCAGTAAATGGCTCTATGAAACATGATGTCTAAAATGAATAAAATGCATTGTTCTCACATACTTGAATTGAAAGTTGGAGGGTAACTCGATGAAGACTGCGTTTCGGCCTTCTTCGAGTTACCCTCCAACTTTCATGCTCGACGGGAAGAGCTGCGCACGCATCACACTCAGACACACGTACACACATATATTATATACTAGTGGCCCGCCCTTGCATAGCTTCGAGGTAGAATTGATTCTTATAAGAAATATGCGTTTAAGACAAAAAAAATGAAATCCTGTTGATATAATTGCCTTTTGTGTTAGAAGGAATTATTACAAGCAGTACCTAAATAGGGATAACGACTAACTTTAATTTCTTTAAGAATATCTTTATTCAAATAATCAAAACTTAACAGAGATAATACTGATTTGAAATATCGCATGACGTCACGCAATGCTACAATTTTTACTTAGAAGTGACGCCACGAGCCCCCATCCCCACTCCCCCAGTAAGTTAATTTAATTAAAATTACTTACTATTAAACATATAAGTATACCAAAATTTACAGAATCACAGAATGAATATAGTTTTTTTTAAATATCTATACTCTATACATATAAATAAAATTGGAGTATCTGTTTGTAATATTGAAATAACCGCTTTTTGCTACATGCATACGAATGAATGAATGAATACTGTACATACACCAAAATAACATTTTTTACATTTTTTGTCTGTCTGTCTGTTCCAGCTAATCTATCTAAAATAGCTGGACCGATTTTGATGGGACTTTTATTGGCAGGTAGCTGATGTAATAAGGAGTAACTTTGGCTACTTTTATTTTAGATAAAATTCTTTTATTTTTTTATTAACGCGGACGAAGCCGCGGGCGGCCGCTAGTAATATATAAAATAAGAGAATATTTCATGACGTACAAGTATCTTTTAATTACAACTACGCAATAAGTATAAAACATTTAAGGTAATAGATAAACAAGTCCGTAAAATAATTATACCAAAGTTTTTGAGATTATTAGCTAAATTAAAATACCCCAAAAAACTAAATGAAACCAAATAAATAACTAGAATTGGTAACACTTTCTCAAACAATCCATTTATGTACCTACTATACACAGGTCCTTAACTGCGGTAATGCGGTGATTCCAAGCCGGCCACATCGCAAAATGTCCGAATTACAAAAGCGAACAACGCAAATCGGTCATGTTGCAAAATGACCGGGTTGTTAGTTAGTAGTGAAGCAACTCTTGATTAACGCCATCTAGCGGTAGACAGAGATAACTGGCCAAATGTAATGTCATATCAAAGAAAGTTTACAGTTTTATGCTATACTACAATTTTGTATATATACTTTACGATTTACTTATCAAGATAATGATGATAATGCAATATTTTTAATGGTTCTACCTTGTAACGCCGAACTTTTAATGTCATAGGTAATATTATTACGCATATCAGCGAATGACATTAACTTCATTTCGCAGAAAATCATTTGGCATTGTGCATTTGGCATACATCAAACACATAATTCTGGCTTACAACATAATCATCTTTAGGCATAAATTTAATATCCGCAATAATTAAAAAAAGCAGAACTATCATTATTGCAGAATGTTCTCAGTCAGAATAGTCTTTGTCATAGATTTTTTTTAACTTTTTCTTGTTTATATATTTATTATCTATGGTCTGGCGCACGCTTGGCTAGTGCTAAGATTAGGTCATAACACTAACCCAACCTGACACACTGACCACAAATACTACGTATGGTTAGTGAAATTGTGAAGAATAAAATTTTGCCAAAGGTATGCCTACTAAAATTCTGCCATCTTTAAAGTATGCTATTGTGAATTCGGACATATAAACATTCGGCCAATTAATAATTATGCTCAATCAAAAATATGCCTAACAAATATTTGTTAAAAAATGATTATGCCAAGTGTGTTATGCCAAATGAATTTCGGAGCAACAAAATTTTGCGAGATAGAGGGAACCCAATTATAATAATGACGTGATTCAAACCCACAACATTTTATTTGTACTCAATAAGCGTCTAACTACAATACACCTTATATATATATCAGAACAAAGTTCTGTTTGGCCAAACCAATGTTAATTTATTAGTAAGATTATTAACAAAAGCACCCAAATGTGTTACTATGTATCTATTTGTCATTTTGACTGCGGCTTGTCCATATAATGCTCAATAGAGAATGAAAAGAAGAGTTTACAAACACCAAACACGAATAGTCAGGGCCGCGGTAGCATAATGGTCAGTGCATTCGCCCGGATAGCCAAGGGTGCGGGTTCGAGTCCCGTCTGCTGCCTGGACCGCGTGCATTTTTTTCTAGTAAACTTTTCTTTAGATTTAAACATCTAGCAGTTAAATGCTTAAAAAAATAAAAACAGAACGAATAAATAAATATTTCCAACAATCACACCAATTAGCCTAGCCCCAAAGTAAGCACTATAAAGGCTTGTGTTATGGGATACTAGGGTAACGGATAGAATACACATACTTTACATATATAAGTATATTTATATAGAAATACATATTTTAAACATCCATGACTGGAGTACAAATGCTCGTGTTCATCACACAAATATCTGACCCCACCGGGATTCGAACCTGGGACCTCTTGAGTCGGCGACGCCATGAAACCCGGCGTACAAACCACTCGGCCACGGAGGTCGTCAAAATGAATAGCCATGTCAAGTGCCGAACATTAGGAGGGATTAGTAGATATACCTACACAGCGACGTGGTAATCTGTTATTTTCTACTGTGTATAGAAGAAATATGTGCCACAAACCTTTGTAATTTGCTGCACCTTCTTCCGAGCGCTTGACAAGTTTGGTCGGTTATTTTCTTGCATTTGTTCAAGTTTAAATCCTCTATATTCGGACAAGACTGCAAAAAAAAAACGAAATAAAACCTACAGGATCTAGGATCATGAAATATCATCATCATCAGCCTATTAATGTCCCCACTGCTGGGGCACTGGCCTTCCCTATGGATGGAATAGGGATATAGAGCCCACATGACGTGGGCCCAGTGCGGATTGGCGGGTGCTAACGACTGCAGATGCAGCCGGGACCAACGGCTTAACGTGCCTTCCGAAGCACGGAGGAACTCGACATAGAAGATTTTTGGTCACCCATCCAATGACCGACCACTGCGAAAGTTGCTTAACTTCAATGATTGTAGTCGAACGCGCTAACCACCCGCGCCATCAAAGTTTATTAACATAGGTGATGAAACATTGTTCCAGATACACGTTGCCGTGTTCCCCACTCTGATTGGAGAGCGAGACGAAACATTTAGTTTATAAACAAAAGTTGACAGGTGTGGACGTGTGTTTTGCAGGATGTTTATAGTTTAGTAGCTGACCCAGCGAGCTTCGTACCGCCATAAAAAAATAGGGGTTGGTGGTAGAAGTGTGAAAATTTAGGGTTATACGTATTTACTAATGCTGTATCTTAAAAAAAATTAAAAAAAAATATCTAAAACTGAAAAAAAAAATACCCTTAACATTTAGGGGGATGAAAAATAGATTACATCCGATTCTCAGACCTACTGAATATGCATATAAAATTTCACGAAAATCGGTCGAGCCGTTTCGGAGGAGTTTAACCACAAACACCGCGACACGAAAATTTTATATATTAGATTTAAATTTGGAAGTAGTGCGGTCCATCCACCAAATTTCGATGCTCATAGAGCTCTTTCGGTTACGCACTCGTACTGTCTAAAATTATTACGCAGGGCAACACTACCTCCTTGGGCGACATCCTAGCATCAACTGACAAGTGTGGACGGCCATGTTTCAGAAACAGTGTTTATGGTAAACTTATTTATAACAAGGTGCTGAACCTCATAAACAGTTTATCAACAAATGTTACCTAAAGAATACGCGGCATTAAATTGAGTGCACATGCAGCGTGTTTGAACGCCCAATGATGACTAAAGCGAATTTTGGTCATGCACCACAATTTAAACGGATCCCTTTTGAGCCGCGAGTGTTGTATCTTCCCTTTTTGTTTTAATCTAAGCTTACTCTACAATTCTTGGCATTATTACCTTAGCTAAAAATATATCTTACTTTATTATAATAATTGATTCTCACCTGAGCTAATGTCTTCATAGACCCATCGGCTATACTCTCGCAGCCTCTCAACGACAACTGCCTGAGAAAACCGCCACATCTCTGCGATATGTTCTCTATTACTGGTCCCTGAAAGTAGATTTTCCTTTAACAGTTCAAAGCTTAACTATCTGGTCACAAGAGTATGTCACGAAAAAATATAGAATATGTGCGTCTAAACCTTTGATTATAATATACACGCCTATATTCTATTCAACTTTCGAAAAAAAGGCAATTATATATATGTGCATATAAAATCATATCTATACATATAATAAAATGGCAGGAAAGTCAAAACTGTATATTGAATATTTTTTTAAAAGAATACCTACTTGGGGTGTGATCTACAATGGATACCGAAGCCAAAAATTTAGTTTTTGGAATTTTTGTCTCTTTGTCTGTATGTATGTCCGGGATAAACTCAAAAAGTGCTGAATGGATTTACTTCAAATTTGGCAAGAATATTATTAAGAAGTCGGGTCAACATATAGGCTAAATATTATCACGCTATCACCTACGGGGAACGAGCAGTGAACCTTTATTTCTTTAACGCATTCCGTTTTGGGGTCAAAAAGTATGTCCAAATAACTAACTCCACGCGTACGAAGTCGCGGGCGGCCGCTAGTAACATTATAATACTACAAAATAAAAAGTAGTGTTCAAGGAAATAATTTACGTTAAAATGCGAACTTTTGTATTCAGTCAGTCTAGTTAAACTGGTCATTTTTACTTTCGATGAAAATATTTTAGAAACATTGGTTTATGTGTGTTAACCTTTTGGCTCAGAATAATTTGAACAGCGTTTAGACAGAGCAATCCAAATAAACCACGCAAAGAAAACGGCTCATGTTACGCGCAATGTGTGAGTGATTCTAACGTCGGAATACTTGAAAAATGGCAATGTGTGCGTGTGTAGCGGCGAACATATCTACCATAAGTAGTGGATATTTTTTGGGGTGCTTCCGTGGCGTAAATACGGTATCTAGACGTGTGTTTAATCAAAGCACTAAACAAAGTATGCAACTATTTTTGATCTAAAAACAAACGCTAATTTAGAAGAGAAACATGCAAAGATCCTTCGAGACGGAATATTAAGCAACAGCATTTTTTTTGTAAAGCTTTATCTATTGTGTAAACTGGATATGTGCGATTAAACTTTTAGTTATTTCCATAGTGTAATGTCGTACGGAATAATCTTAAAGTTAAAGAATCAATAGTGCCAATTCCGGCGTGATTCTCTAAACTTAAAACTAAATTTAACATCAGTCTCTCCTTTTCATTCTGTATAGAGAATGACAAGGATATACTACTGTCAAATTTAAGTTTAGGTTTAGAGAATCATGTTAGAATCGACACCATTAAGAGATAAGTTTAAAGAATTTGGAATAATGACGGTCGCATCACAATAAATATACGAAAATTTATTACTTGTAAGAAAAAATATTAATTTGTTTCTTAAAAACAGTGATGTTCACACAATTAATACAAGAAACAAAAATAAACTAACTTTACCTGCTACTAGGCTTCACAAAATTAATAATTCATTTAAAGGTCTTTGTGTTCGCTTATAAAATAAAGTCCCAAGCAATATCCAAGAGTTAGCCATAAATAAATTTAAAGATATTATAAAAAAAAAACACTTATTAAAAAAGCTTATTACAAAGTGTCTGATTATATTACAGACAAAAATGCTTGGGTTTGAACTGTTCCAATCATTCCAACAGGTTTTCTATATTAAATAAATCATAATTGTATTGACGTTGTAACAACATAATGATTTGTAAATGTTGTTACATTAGACTTTTAATGTTGTGGAGTTTTTTTCGCTCGTTTTTCTCCGCAGCTAAAAAATATGTCCCTAACTAGTGGTAGGGAAAAAAAATTTTTGGACGATTCAAAAGAGTTGTACTATACATCCAATTTGAATAAAGATATATTGATTTCTAATTTCTGAAAAAACGATACGCGTAAATTAAGCGTTACGAGGACAGGATGACAAGGTTTAATATGCAGTCCCTTGAGTCTCGTCGTAAGTATTTTGATTTAAACTGCCTATATAAAATCGTTAACTCGCACATGGACAGTCCATCGCTTCTCTCGCTTCTGAATATTAATATTAGATACAAGTCTCGTAGTCCTAAATTTTTTGTACTTCAAGTATTCACTAACAATATACTTCTAATTATAATCCAATAGTCAAGATGTGTCGTGCCTATAATGCGTTAGTTGGTGTGGATAATGTGGTTGATTTGGATTTGTTTAGTCTCAATCAGAATCAATTTAAAAAATGTGTTCTAGAAATCTGAGGCCAAGCGCTTTGATATAAAAAGATTTTTTTAGCTTGATTTATTTAATTAAATATGTACTTGATAATATCTTATTTAATTGATTTGCTAACATTTTGTTTTAATTGTAATGTAATATAATTTCATTAATGTAATAAGTATATTAAAATCAATTGAAAGTAATTTTATCTAATTTATAGTATTCAATCTGTTTTTATTTGAATGAATTTTATTTAATGCAATGTAACAGTTAATATCGATATATTGTCCTTTGTTTTATATAACGAAATTTTTTGTGTATGCATGTTAAGTGTTGTTCGGTAAACATGTTATGTATACCGAATAAATAAAATAAAATAAAAAAAAAAGTACACGCCCATTAATGTTCACAGAGAATACTGCAAAATCAATAGAAAAAGATCAAAATCGGTCCTTCGCGCTGGATTATTTAGAATAACTGAAAGTTTTAGTAAGTCTGTTAGTGATTTGAGGCTAATTGATGCTAGCCTATATTGATTTACCTCTACGTCTCTCTGAAACTCGAATAAGTCTATCCTTTGCCAATTAGATCCATCTAAAGCCAGGATGTTCCATAGTTTCGAAACCTGAAAGAAATGAAAACGTTAGCAATATATCTGTAACATAATAGGTGTTTCTGCATGATTGTGTAACAAACATACAAAAACACAAACAACGCGCCCGCAAATTTTGGAACGAGTGGCTGTACCAACACGCTTGGCTAAGAACGCCGGGTAATTGTAGCAGTGAATTCCCGCGCTCCGCTACTCCGCGCAAGTGTCCCCGCCCTTCCTATAAGAGAGGCGTGGAGAAGCATTTTTGCAGGCCGGCAAGGTGAGGATGATTGGTGTAGCAGTTTATAACTGCTGTACCAGCTATCTTCGCGTTTGGACTTTATTACCACTTAACATCAGGTGGGGTAGAGTCATTTGCCTGCCAAGGTGAGCGTTGATGTGCATCTCAAAGGGGGCCTCCTTAAACCTACACCTGGGGGCCATTCGCCCAACGGAAATGCTTTGGAAAACGCTAACGCTTTCGATTTTATTTTGTTATTTCTGACCGCCGAAGGTTTTCAAATACCTCACGCTCATTTTTGAAGTGAAACGTTCTTTAGCGGCTTTGTACACTTTTTTTTGTATGGGTAAAAAATGTTAAACTCGCGTCAGGTTAAACCTGTGGGCTGATCACATCATGACACACAATAAAATTGGAAAGGTTTTTGACTTTCAATATATTGGACTAAACATAGTAATATTTTATTTTATCGTATTATAATAATAAGTCTCTATCGATCTTCGATTTTTTACAATAGATGTCGCTAGGTGCGCTTAAATGTGATTCATGTAAGTTGATTTTTCTGAGAGATAACCTTTTTTAATGTAATATAAATTGTCATGTTTGTGTACGATAGCGCAACAAATAAATATTGTATTCTACCACATAAATTATAGTACTTTTATACTGATAATTAAAGCAATTCGTGCAAAATTATTTCCTAACCATTCCAAAATATCAAAAATGCACAACGTTAATATTCAAGTTTTCACTTCTGCCGGCACTCCCGGAGTGCAACCCGTCGTTTTTTTTTTAATATTGTGATTACCAATGCAAAAGAAAAAAAACGAGCGCGAGGCATTTGAAAACCTCAGGCGGCTAGAAATAACAAAATGAAATCGTAAGCGTTAGCGTTTTCCAAAGCATTTCCGTTAGACGAATGGCCCCCTGGGTCGCAAGTCCCGGGAACTGCTCAGAGTTTCTCTCTCTCACACACGACAGACCCGCACGGTGAATCCATGGATTGCTAAGTTTGTCTCTAGTTGAATATGGTTGGTTATCCACATCAGGAGCTCAATGGCGCAGGTGGCTAGCGCGTTAGGCTGCGATCGTTGAAGTTAAGCAACTTTCGCAGTGGTCAGTCATTGGATGGGTGATTGAGCTCCTCCGTGCTTCGGAGGGTACGTTAAGCTACTGGTCCCAGCTGCATCTGCAGTCGTTAGCACCCGCCAATCCACACTGGGCCCGCGTCTCCAACCTCCCTATTCCATCCATAGGGAAGGCCTGTGCCCCAGCAGTGGGCACATTAATAGGCTGATGATGACGATGGTTCTGGACTCACCTGTGCGCACCTACACAAGGATACCACATCCAGGTACGACAAAATCTTCAGCAGCAACTCTTTGGGCAGTTTCTTGTTGATATGGTTGTCGTCTTCGCCCGAAAACCGGCCTATCTGTAAAAATAGAAGAATATATTTTAACAGGCGAAAAAAACGAAGGAGGTACTCGTCGACTTGTATATCGACAGTGCTAGAAAACTCTGCTAGATAAGAGCTTAAATACAGAAAAAAATGCATCAAGCTGGTTTATTATCATTTCTATATAATTTTTTTAGTTGATATTGCTTTGAACTTACAGTGATAAGTTATACAGACTTAATTTCCAAATAATTTTTAATAATAAAAGTAATAATAAATCATTTAATCCTTACCATAATCCATTGGGATAACAAAAGTAAGATGTTACAATACAAGTCGATACAATATTATGGCAGGTTGATATCAACCCTATTAGTACGGAGGAACTCGAGATAGTAAATTTTTGGTCACCCATCCAATGACCGACCACTGCGAAAGTTGCTCAATGTACCTAAAAATTGACTTAATTTCACTATTATTTAAGCAATTGAAGGTCATAGGATGGGTGACCAAAAATTTACTATCTCGAACTCCTCCGTACTTCGGAAGGCACGTTAAACCGTTGGTCCCGGCTGCATTTGCCAATCGGCACTGGGCCCGCGTGCTGGGTCATGGCCCAATCTCCCTATTCCATCCGTAAGGAAGGCCTGTGCCCCAGCAGTTGGGACATTAATGGTGATGATGATGATGATGACATTCGAGGAGGAGCTCATGGCACAGGTGGTTAGAGCATTGGGCCTGTGATTGTGAAAGTTAAACAACTTTCGCAATGGTTGGCCGTTGGATGGGTCACCAAAAACTTATTATCTTGAGCTCCTCCTTGCTTCGTACTTTTTTAAGCTGCCGTTGCGTAAAACGCGCAAATCGTAATAATTCAAAAAATATCTACGTCGGAATATAGAGAGAAATGGTTGAGCGATAGAGCTGGCCGCCCCTCCTTGGCGAAGCCCTAGTCTACCGTGTCGTGGGCTAAACTAGTATAATAGTTAACAATTAAAAAAAGAATTCGCACACCGGTGCGACACTGTCACTTATGCAAAAAAAAAATCTTTTTCAAGAGGAGCGTTTAAAACCTTGACATCCCAAAACATACAAAAAAGATTTTTACGTGTTGAATAGCTTATACTGCTTAGCTATTCATTTAAAAAATCTTTAAATATTGTATGTTTTGGGATGTTAAAGTTTTAAACGCTTCTCCTGAAAAAATGTGTTTTTGCATAAGTGACAGTGTCGCACCGGGGGTGCGAATTATCAAAATCAGACTACTCTGTAAAAAGTTATGTGGGATCAATTGATCATGCATTACAATCAGTGAGTGACCAATCAATCATCCCCTGTTTTCATACTCTTAGGGTTGTTTATTTTTCCAAATTATTAGGTGATCTACTTCAAGGTATACCCTTTCCAATAAAAAAAGAATTATCGCAATTTATTTATTATTTATTTATTTTATTCTTCTTTACCAAAATATAGTAAATGGCGGACTTAATGCCATAGGCATTCCCTAGCAGTCAACCAGTAAGGGTGTGGGAGACGAATTTTATGGCGTTAGAGTGCGAGCTACTAATGTTAGAAATACATATATATTATCCTACTTAACTTTACTATAGGTACAATATAATAAACGATAAATAAATATTATATAATAATCAAATATCATAAATACACATATAAATAAATAGATATATATATATATAATAAACATACACATATAATTATATACATATAATAAACTAGTTAGTAATATCTAATTATGATGTTACAGATGATAGTGTGCACGTACTTGATTTTTAAACTTCAACTTACTACGAGCACTGCGAATATTCAATGGCAAAGCATTCCAAAGACGTATAGCCGTAATGGTGAAAGATTTGGAGACGAAACCAGACTTCTCTAAAAAAAGTTAGTAAAAAGGTGTGGTCATACATTAAAAAGATATTTACAATGTGTCTGGAACACATCTATCGGCCCTCCCAGCGTTACAAAATATATATTCTTAAAAACCACAAAAAAGATGGTTTTATCATCATCATCACCATTAATGTCTCAACTGCTGGGGCACAGGCCTTCCTTACGGATGGAATAGGGAGATTGGGTCATGACCCACCACGCGGGCCCAGTGCGGATTGGCAAATGCAGCCGGGACCAACGGTTTAACGTGCCTTCGGAAGTAAGAAAGTACGGAGGAGCTCGAGATAGTAAATTTTTGGTCACCCATCCAATGACCGACCACTGCGATAGTTGCTTAATGTACCTAAAAATTGACTTAATTTCACTATTATTTAAGCAATTGAAGGTCATAGGATGGGTGACCAAAAATTTACTATCGCTCAACCATATCTCTCTCTGTAAACGGAATATATTGATAATATATTCCGTCATAGATATTTTTTGAATTATTACGATTTGCGCGTTTTACGCAACGGCAGCTTTAAAAAGTATGAAGCAAGGAGGAGCTCAAGATAATAAGTTTTGGTGACCCATCCAACGGCCAACCATTGCGAAAGTTGTTTAACTTTCACAATCACAGGCCCAATGCTCTAACCACCTGTGCCATGAGCTCCTCCTCGAATTTCTACGTAAATTATTATTATAGAGAAAATTATTGATATACTAGACTAAACAAGATAAGCTAATGTTTAGCTTCTTATCTGTGCAAAAATAAACATGACAAGTAATTATTAACAACACAAAGATTATAAAAATCATTAGTACCTATCATAAGATACCATTATCCTTTGTGTTAAGATTGAATATTGAAAACATTCTTTTTGATAAAATTATTTACTCACAATTTATAGCTTCTTTAACATTGTTCATTTATCATTAATGCAAAAGAAGAACGCTTCTGATCATGTTTAAAGTTTATGTGTAATTTTTTCTTTAACAAGGATATCGGAAGCAGGGAGTTAAAAGCGAAAAGCAACTTATTTTCTTGTTGGATCTTCTCAGCATTAGATCTCTCTCTGTAACTTTGAACTGTACTGTAATCATATCAAATCATCTTCAAAGGTTCTATAGAAACTAAAAAGTACTCCTACTGGACAAAAGAAAAAACTGTCTCCTTCCATACAAAATTTAAAACAAATCTTCAATGGTTTAATGCATTGATTGATTTGTTTCTTGTTGGTAGCTTGAAAAAGATGCGAAACATCAAGAAACATATAAATCAATGCAATAAACCATTAAAGCTTTGTTCTATTTAATGAGTGGTGTGCGTAAACACCTAAGAAACAAATATGGGACAATATGTTTTATGAATCAGTCAAAGTTTGTGCTTGGGGTACTGGACGACTGTAAGGACTAAATTCATTCCCACAACATTTCATCAACTGTTAGCTTATAAATACAAAATAACTGCGTAAATATTGTTCGTAAATACAGAGGTGGAGGGTTGATAACCTGAGATACAGGATCTTTCCTAGTTCTGGTATCAACCTGCCATCATAATCTTGTATCGACTTATCTTGTAACATTTTGTCTCTGTTATCCCAATGGATTATGGTGAGGAATAAATGATTTATTATTATTATTTTTAATGAAAATTGAGTCTGAATAACTTATCACTGTAAGTTCAAAGTAATATCAACTAAAAAAATATATAGAATAGAAAGAAAATATAACTAGAAAAAATTCCACGCGGACCAGGCAGCAGACGGGACTCGAACCCGCACCCTTCGCAATTCGGGCGAATGCACTGACCAATTATGCTACCGCGGCCCTCACGGACCGCGTCGAAATTCTTTCTAGCTATTCTTAAGCTGCAAAGCAGCGCCATCTCTTCGCATTATAGGTAAACCCACAATGTCAAATGAATACTTTTACAAGTATTAAACATTTGAAAGAAGAAATAGCAATTATAGTTATAATTTTTATTATTTTTAAAGCATGTAACTGCTTGATGTTTAAATCTAAAGAAAATATAACTAGAAAAAATTCCACGCGGACCAGGCAGCAGACGTGACTCGAACCCGCACCCTTCGCAATCCGGGCGAATGCACTGACCAATTATGCTACCGCGGCCCTCACGGACCGCGTCGAAATTCTTTCTAGCTATTCTTAAGCTGCAAAGCAGCGCCATCTCTTCGCATTATAGGTAAACCCACAATGTCAAATGAATACTTTTACAAGTATTAAACATTTGAAAGAAGAAATAGCAATTCTAGTTATATTTTCTTTAGATTTAAACATCAAGCAGTTACATGCTTTAAAAATAATAAAAATTATAACTATAATTGCTATTTCTTCTTTCAAATGTTTAATACTTGTAAAAGTATTCATTTGACATTGTGGGTTTACCTATAATGCGAAGAGATGGCGCTGCTTTGCAGCTTAAGAATAGCTAGAAAGAATTTCGACGCGATCCGTGAGGGCCGCGGTAGCATAATTGGTCAGTGCATTCGCCCGGATTGCGAAGGGTGCGGTTTCGAGTCCCGTCTGCTGCCTGGTCCGCGTGGAATTTTTTCTAGTTATATTTTCTTTAGATTTAAACATCAAGCAGTTACATGCTTTAAAAATAATAAAAATTATAACTATAATTGCTATTTCTTCTTTCAAATGTTTAATACTTGTAAAAGTATTCATTTGACATTGTGGGTTTACCTATAATGCGAAGAGATGGCGCTGCTTTGCAGCTTAAGAATAGCTAGAAAGAATTTCGATGCGGTCCGTGAGGGCCGCGGTAGCATAATTGGTCAGTGCATTCGCCCGGATTGCGAAGGGTGCGGGTTCGAGTCCCGTCTGCTGCCTGGTCCGCGTGGAATTTTTTCTAGTTATATTTTCTTTAGATTTAAACATCAAGCAGTTACATGCTTTAAAAATAATAAAAATTATAAATATAGAATAGAATTAATAAACCAGCTTCATGCAATTTTTTCTATATTTAGGCTCTTATAGCTCTAGCAGAGTTTTGTCAGGAACAACATTCTGAAGTCTACATAAACAAGGTAAACAGGCAAAGTTAGTTGTAGGTATCAGCCCGTTGTGTAATTTAAAGATTACGTTTATATTTAAGCTATATTTTTCTGCTCTCAACGCAGCTTAAGAAATATAACTTTCTTATGAATGATTGATAATTAATCAAAACAATGAAAATAATCTTTGAAAAGGGATCACCCAATAAGGTATAATGTTCTTGGTGTGCGTGTTCCTAATTATAATCCAACAATTTTATATGAATTCTGAATCCAGGTTTGATTTTATAGTTACACTCACTTAGATAATAAATAATACATAATTATTATTTTATAACTCATCAAATAGTTTACATACAAAGTTCATCCTCATTACGGTAAATAAATTGCTCTCAAATGAATAATATAATTAATTGCACATTTAAATATGTACCTATTCAATGTGCAAAAAAGCCATTATCATGTTAACATTATTTTTATAACATTCGGCAGAAAGGTGACGCAAAAATGGCACTTATCACGCTGAATTTAAGGATCGTAAAAAACGTAAACGTATTTAACGGTATACAAACACGGTCGTTGATCGTCCCAAGAGGTCAACACACTCACGGACAAAATGAAATGACTCAAAATGCGTAGCGGCGGCATCGACGTGCGAATAAATAAAGATAATCTATCTACAACAACGTAGAAATAACGCGGAAAACATACGTGTGCACAGCGCAACTATTACCAAATACTTTAAAAATAGAATCGCCTTTGTTTATTATGAGCACAAAACATGTTACCGAGACGTTAACAATGTTATTAATGCATGATTTTACCGCTTTTACGCGGGCTAAAAGGATGTTACAAGAACAAAGAGTTTGCAAAAGCGCCTACGCGATGTCAGCTGTTTTCAATCAGAATGAAAACAAACAAAATTTTGTTAGAATCGATTCTCTTCTTACCTCGAATTTATTCCTCCCGGAATAAGTCATGTTAGGGTACGGTGTCACCTTGGCCACAATGCTGAATTTCACTCGCGCACCGGCACTGAAATTCACAATTTTCGCGCTGGTCTACACGACTAAACAAAGGAAATATGGACGATTTTGTAATTTAAATTTTCTCTCGGCCTACGAGCGAACAGACGACTTTTCGCCTTGCTGCACGTTCAAAAACACTGACTGGACTGGACCACAGATTATAGGACTGCACTGACAGCCATGCGCAGCTGTCTTTTGATTATTATCTTTTAGCACACTTTTTTTTCTTAATTTACAGTACTGTAAGAGGGTTTTTTTTCCATTTGGTTAATTCCTTTAAGTCGTAATCATGCTAAATTCATATTCATCGAATTTTCGTTTTTCATATTTGCGTATGAAATATAGTCAAAGTTGTATACATAATTTTTGTTTTCAAACGCAGCTGCGAATGACATTTAGAAAAAGTGTTGCCCGGTTGGTATGTATTTTCAGGATAAAAAAGCTCGTGAAGTGACCTTAGTCCAAATCAATAAAAATAAGATAAAAACATATATTACAATATAATACACCTGCTTTCTTATTTTATACTTAGCATATACTATATTCGGCCTATTTATATTTGGACATAATCGGGTAGTCGGCAATTTCCTAAGATTTTTTGAACAAGTAATTAAATACAATTAACTACATTTGTCTCCACAATCGTGAACTTGCTTCTTATATGTCTAATATACGTCATCGAGACCTAAGATTAAGATTGTGATAGCTTGTTCTCTTATTAGTCTGTGATTGTGATACTGGTGACCAAACTAAGCTGACGCCTGTGCGCTGTAGATCAGCAAATATAGTGCTTTGCTATAAAAGTTTCAAAGGAGTGTATAAATTGCTAACTTTAACCTGGGTAATGCATAAGTACTTAAAAGTTAAAGAGTTCGATGGTGCCGCTGGTAAATGCGTTTTGTCTCCGATCGTAGAAGTTAATCACAATGGTGATGGCCTGTCATAGGATGTGCGACCAAAAATCTCGTATTCGAATAGTTTGCCAGTCCGAAATGACATTGTTAAATTTTGTATGGAAACTTGAACAGCAGAGCCACAAAGGAGGTAACGAGAACTAAAAATCAGTACACATTTAACAATGACATTTCGTACTCGCAAACTTTACGAATTTGGTATTGGTTCGTGCTTAGGGTACGGTACCATGAAGAACTACCAAAAAGTATTCGTATTGCCATGTAACCTTATACTGAGAAGAACCGGCAAGAAAATCAGTGAGGGCTGTTTTTTTCTCCCTGTATTTTAATCAGGACTTCAATATGAGGTAACTCATAAAGTCACTTTCCATTACAAATGCAATTAATATAAAAATTATGACTATAAAATAAAAAAATATATAAAAAACTGGTTTAACAAAGTTTAGGAATGTTTAGGAATGCCGTGTCCTACTGTTTAAAAGAAAATTGAACGACTAAAGTTTAGTACAACGATTTAGTATTAGTACCCAATGAGGCAAGAGCTGACTCATTCCCGCTGGCAGGCTGGCTTTCGGTTTGACACTGTCTATATCTAGTTGTTAGGAATATAATATTCCAAATTCCAATTAATTCTTATCAATACACAAACACAATATTATCCGTTTGCTTGATTTTCTTTTCATACGTAAGTTTTAGTATTTTACATGTTGCCACATGCAACATGCGTGGTGCGATTTATTTTTTATTTTGGTAACTATTACAAAATGATAATGATAATGTTTGGTAACTATTACAAAATGACAACGTATAGCTTAATGATATAAAGCAGGTTATTGCTTTTTTTTAATAATGGTTCGTTACGAATTAAAAGACCATATAATGAGACAATGTATTTTATTGGCACAATTACCTATATACAAGTCCCCAACCTACATATTTGACTTCACGAACGGATCAGCTATGGGAGTGTCTATTTTGTCGAACGGATAGTAGGGATGAGTCTGCCAAAACGACGGCAAAGTGAACCTTGTATGGCTGTCGAATTCGTTTATTTTCCGTATCTCGTCTTCGCTCAGGCTGAAATCGAAGATGTTGATGTTCTCCGCTTGGCGTTTCGCGTGCAAACTTTTCGCTATCGGCACAATTTTTCTGTCCACCTGTAAGCGAGAAATTGGGAGAATGTCATCGTCATGCAGTGGCGTAGCATAGGTCACTAGCACCCGGTGCGGATTCCAAATTTGCCGCCCTCTTATTTTTGCAATCCATTATAAAAAAATTGAGGCATGGTAAAAAGAGTACTTTTATTGAATAACACTAACCTAAGAGTGAAATTATCATTTTTTGACATAGAGTAGAAGGTAGACTATCACAATATCACTTTTTTTTATATTTTTTTTTTCTCTATCTGCCACCTCCGCAGCGCCGCCCCCGGCAAAGTGCCGCCCGGTGCGGACCGCACCCCCCGCCCCCCCCCCATGCTACGCCACTGTCGTCATGAATTTTATTGGTCAATCAAAGAACTTAGAGATTATGGACTCAAAAAGGCGAAACGGAACTCTTTAAATATACGTCTACTTCCTACTTATTACATGACTTTGTCCATGGAACGGAAATAAACTCTAAGCCATATAAATCATTCTTTATAGATTGGTATATTACTGTTCCTGCAATGAGTGCTGTTGCCAAAACTCCACGGATTACGGATACATTTAGGATAATAAATTCTTGCCCCGCCTAGCATGAGCAGCGCGATATAATAGGTATATGACGACTTTTTTATAATGCTAAAATGTCAAAATTACTAGAGTCTGTGCGGAAAGAGAATGGGCGTGGTGAAAAACGGAACTAACATTAAGATTTTTATTTGGCAATCAAAACCAGCAATCTGTAAAACTTCAAAGTTTTGAATTGATACGGATTTATTTGTTGTTGTGATTTCTTGCGGTTTTTTGTATTTAATCATGTCTAAAAGGGGTAAAACCTTACAAATACGGTAGAAAAGCACTACAGCGCCCTCCAATCTACATCCCATTCTCTTACCGCACAGTCTCTATTGAGTTTGACAGTTAGACGCAATAAAAACCGCTTATAATGTATATTGTGGTGGTTTTAATGGTCACTTATAATCAAGCGTGCCGTATGCTTATTTACTACCCCTTTTTACATAGGTATGTGTTGGTAACAATCCCTAATTTTAGGTACAGACCTACCTTACACATTAACCGCTTTTTCACAATTTCAGGAAAATTATTTTTTTAATGTTCCCCTGAGGAGCTCGATTGCGCAGGTGGTTCATGCGTGCGGCTGCGATCGTTGAAGTTAAGCAGCTTTCGCAATGGTCGGTCATTGGATGGGTGACCAAAAATCTTCTTACTCGAGTTCCTCCGTGCTTCAGAAGGCACGTTAAACCTTTGTTCCCAGCTGCAGTCGTTAGCACCCGCCAATCCGCACTGAGCCCACGTGGTGGGTCATGGCCCAATATCCCTATTCCTTCCATAGGGAAGGCCTGTGCCCCAGCAGTGGGGACATTAATAGTCTGATGATGATGATGAATGGTATCCCCACTTACCAACCACCTCAATACGACTTGGAGGGTTGTCTTCTTGTATTTGTTCGCGATCTCTGTAAGCACAGGATCGTCCATCTTTGGTCCAGGCATCTGCATACCGAACCTGGAGACCAGAGAACCGAATGGGCTGTAAGCCATGACTACAATGCCGTTCTCTTGAGCGAAGTCTACAAGGTCTTTTTGGACTATTTGAGGATGAATCTGAAAATATAAGCATATGTAATGTAAATGTTAGAATATTTTAACGTTATTTATTGAAGACGGAAATAAAATAGTAAAATTTCATAATTTAACTAAAGAACAAATAGTAAGATATTATAACTAAAACCCTTAAAATATATAATAACTAAAATACATTATTAAAAAGAGTCCCTTTAGGCGAGGTTCTAAAGATACTGGTAGCGTTCCCCCTTTGAATAGCTAGACTAATTCTTTGTCCGAGGTAGCTAGCTGCCAGCTCTTCGGTCCCCTGTGATGTCGACCAATCTTTTTGCTATTTCCTTAAAAAGCCTTACAGCGCTAGGACCCCACGGACCAAGGGTCTCGACACGGAATGGGACAAAATCATATTCGGAGCCCCTGTATTTGCATGCCTTAGCTTTTTCAGCCGCTTCGCAAGCCGCACCAACTCTGTTTTTGTTTCCATGTAGATGGGAAGGGGTCAGTGTGTCTGAACAGGTTGCATCCCATACTAGCACCCGGCCCATCTTCCATGGAATCAAACTCATATTTTAACTATAAAAAAAATGAGCCGTCACGGGAAGCCTGGCAGATGTGAAACACTGCCCGGTTTACGATAAATACACTCGCAGAATTGCTCGGAATATTCCGAGCAATCCGCACACATGTGCGGAAAAAAAAATACATAGGTCCTTAAGGGTACCGTACTGATCGGATTTTTTTTGAGTGTTTAAGCTGTTAGTCGTAGATGACCTTTACAGCGTCACCGGGTTTGGGGACGGCGAGAATTGGCGAGTGCCTCTAGAGGTATTCCAGGCGGAGGGCATCCCCCCGTGGGGGGAGTCTCTTCTCCGTCAGGAGCCTCTAGACCACTAGAACCTGAGGGGGATTGATCGCGAGTAGTTGAGCACTGGTATATATTGCATTTTACGGGCGAGCGTCTCGCCACGCCTGAAATCGGTTTTTCGTGCGCCAAAAGATGTTTTACACCAAAAAGTTCATCACTAGGCTGGCATCGAATCAGGCGACGGGCAATTGCACTGACCACCGTATTACCAAGACCCTAACGGATGTATCGAATCTCGTCTCTTCATATTGTTGATTCTCCATTTTAGTATACAACAGTCTAAAACACAAACGAGAGTGTTTATAGTTAATTAGAAGAAATTCAACGTCAAATTGTGAAAATTATAGTTCACTTCAATTTCTCTGGGTAGTAAGTGTTCGTATAAATATTTTTTTAACAAAATTTAGTTTAAATTCAGACATCTAGCAATTAAATGCTTAATAAAAATATATTACCTAATCAATAGGTTTTGTTTAAGTAATAATAGAATAAACTTCCAGTATGTATTTCAAGCATTTCCATATATTCTTCATATAAGAGTTTAACTATGTTAATTTCTACTAATAACAGTACAAAATTGTTACCTCTATCTGTAAAGCCGCTGGCTTCACCGTCGCCTCTTCCAGCATCCGTTTTAGCTGCTCCTCGTTGAAGTTGGAAACGCCGATGGCTTTAGTCAGACCTTGCTTCATCGCATCTTCGAGACCGCGCCAAGTCTCCATGAAATCTACGTCGGAGTGCGAGTAATCTTCCTAAAAGAGGTTTTGAAGAGTTGATAAAGCTATTCAGGCCCGTATTATAGAAAGATTCTCAGTGATTGATCTAGTCTTGAGCATAGTTAGAAAGGGATGTCGCTATATATAGCACATAGCGATATCCCTTTCTAACTGTACTCAAGTAAAGATCAACACTTAATTGTCATTCTGTAATACGGGCCTAAGAGGGGAGGAGCGCAGCTGTTTTTTCCATACAAACGTACTTAACTGATTCCTCCATGCTTTTAATCACTAAAATCAATTATAAAAAACTCAAAAATTGATCTAAAGAAAAGTTTACTAGAAAACTATATTCTTGTATGAATATCAATTCTTGATATTCATACAAGAATATAATTTTACTCATACTATGCTGCTATGTTTTCCTTTTTTCGATAACTTGTTTTTCAAAGAAACTAGAAGCCCTCGAAAAAGGCCAATAATCATCAATTTTTTATCACCACTAAAGACGTCTAGTGTAGAGATTTAATAAGCATTTACAAAAAAAAAACAAAACATAGAGGCATAATATAAGTACTTATTATTCTTTGTGTAAAATTTCTTTCACATAATATCTAATTTTCAAGGAAGATATCGTCGATAGCCAAACCTCGAATTCCGCAATTTTCAGCGTTCACTACTGTTGTCCCTAACGCAAGGTATTAGTGCTAGGCCACACTACGGTGAAACCGCGGTTTTATACCGCGTAGTTTTGTGAATCATGGAAACTTATGCAAGCGGCCGCACCAGCGGTTTTTTCCCGCGACTGATTTTAAAACCGTGATTTGTTACAGAATGGCTCGCGGGTAAATACCGCGCCAAAATTTTTAGTCCATACAATATATTTACGAAATTTGTGACGTCGTTTTCTTTTCTATTGCTTAGTATTAAAGCAACAATACATACAGCTCTCTTGAAATCCATCCTCAAACTGTGATAAATCGTGTCTAGTTTGGCGGTTTTTAATCGTAGTGTGTGTGCTTCGGGCGGTTTCGCGGTTTTGCGGTTTACCGCTTGCGGGAAAAAACCGTAGTGCGGCCTAGCACTTAGTCAATGCGCTACAGCAATAGTTTTTTCAAATACCTATTTCTCAATAGAGTCTCAGCTCGCGTTCGCTTCTAAGTACTAGTCTTACACTTCGTAAGTTCTCGTCTCCTCAAGAAGAGGTGAATAGTGGACAGACCCCTCTTTCCCAGTGGGCACTTTGGGCAAGTGCCCAGGGCCCCGTGATCGATAGGGGGCCCCCTCAGATCAAATACAAAGTCCCTAGTTCCTGTTAGATCACCAAACGATAACCAATATTTATTACCAAAAAACTTATATAATTCAATGAAATCGATCCTAAATGACTGACTACAATACCAACTTACTAGCTTTTACATAAGCGAAGTTTTTCTACTGTCGCCCAAAAATTAGGCTTTCCGACTTCAGCATGCATGCAGCATCAAAGCACATAAACATTTTAAAGAAACATCACCAGTAGTAGACTTATCAGTATGACTCGCTCCATTTCAAGTCATAATCCACATCAAAGTCATAGGAGCCCCATTATCCTAATATGCCTAGGGCCTCCTATAGGTTAAAAACGGCCCTGGTAGTGGATTTTATACTGACAGGAGTTTAAAAAAGTGTATACAAAATACGGTTCGTGTTTGAGTCCCCCCTTTAATAACATTAATAAGATTTTATTTTTTGTTATTATAAGTAACGGCAATGGAAATACAGAAATACGTATAATGAAATGATAGAAGACGGATGGACAGACGGACAATGGATGTTAATAAAATGGGTACCTACTTATTTATCTTTAATGTTTTGTTACTATACAATACATATTTACTTTCGAAATATATAAATTTTAAGCTTAAAATACAGATTGCAAAAGCATTTAGATAGTAAATATGCCTTCATGAATCAGAGAAGTCTTGAAATTTTTTAATACTTTTAGCGACTTCCCCTGGCGTCGTCCACTTTAACTTGAGTTTTTTTGGAATCGCACAGGAATCTTAAATTTTTCCGGGATAAAAAGTATCCTATATTTCAATCCAGGTCATAAATTATATGCGTACCAAATTTCATTCAAATTTGTTCAGTTGTTTTTGCGTGATTGAGTAACATTGATAGAAACTATCAATCACATTTATAAAAAGTAGGATTTATTTTTTCAGGCGTATTAATATAGTGTATTTTTTATTATTTTAGTATAGTTTTTTCAACAACCATTTGTAAAAAAAAATACAAAAGAAAACACTCGGTCAATGTATCAGTGGGTCTAGTATTTTTTAATTTAAATAAATCGAGCAATTTATATCTTAAAATAAAAATATAATAAAGTATCTATTGGTGTGTTATATAATATTGTTATTACTTACATTCAGACCAATAGGCCAGTGCATCAAGTAAAGATCGACGTAATCCATTCCAAGCTTGGTGAGGGAGTCTTTTAGAGCTGGCAACACCTGATCTCTCCTGTGGCGCGTATTCCATAACTGTAAGCACCACACAGATTAGTATTAAAGACTTGGATAATTTTTTTACCGAGCAATACTTACTTAATTTACTTCTTTAGGACGCGCACCCTAACGCTACTATTATCCCTACAAAAAACACGACAAGTGCGAATCGGACTCGCCTACCGAGGGTTCAGTGCGCAACATGAATATCAGAATATTCTTTTCGTTAACTTAAAAGTATTTTTTTAAGCTTCAAGGGACCGCAAGCCTATAGCCGCAAGAGTATATCAACGACATTACAAACCCTAGATACAAGGGCGGATCCAGAGGGGGGGGGTCATGGGGGTCATGAAAATTCACAATCCACCCACTTCACAATCTGTACTTCCAATCTGTACCCACTGTGACTTGACCACGACTAGATGAGCCCCCCCTGGCGCCAAAGCTGGATCCGCCCTTGAGATACACCGTGTCCCAATCAAGAAGTGCTTGAACAAGTTCACAGTTTACACGCGGACCGTTCAAAATTTAACATGCCGCTGAGCTCCATAAAAAAATTGGTAAATAATACTTATAAGTACGTAGTGTCGTTCTTTCGACAGGTACCTATTCATTTTTTGTTAATTTAACGCATTTGAAGAAAAGTTTGTTCTAATACTCACTATAAACTGATTTAATAGAAAATATTTTTGATATTCAAATGCTTTTCCTCGCGCTTCGTAACTGCTAATGTCTAACAACGCTTTCAGAATTACGCTTTTAGAATTAATTATGAGTCAAAGAAATAAAGTATAAACTCATCCGCTTATAGCAACAAGTCGTAAAATTTTACGAGCTTGCATTTCGATGTGTCGTAAATGTTTGACGCATGCGTTTAAATTAAGCCCTTATTTACTTTGCATTAGAGGTGACTTTGAAGGTTTAAATAATGGCTTATATTGTTTTTGTCTACGCCATCATCTTACAGAGCTCCGTGGATCGTCGTCCAATGTACCTTTTGGACATGTTTCGGCCACGATTTTGTTCGTGGTGTTGTATCTAGGATATTAAATATCGTTAAATTTCAACTCGATACCCACATGTGTTTCTGAGATAAAGGGTGGGTCTTGGCTTGACAGACAGACTGAAAACAAAGTGATCCTATAAGGGATAGGTTTTCCTTTTTTAATAACAGAACCCTAAAAACAGTAAGTAAATTGATTATAGACTTTTCTAGTTAATTTTTCTCTAGCTTCTAATCCAACATATAGGCGAATATTTTAATGATTCGTTTGGGATATATTAATTGCAGAGGCATAGAGAATGGACTCGCAGGAAATTAACATCTCTCCAGTAATAGAGAAAGAGATACTTAACCCATAGACATACTAACTGTTAGCCGCATGTGCACTCCGTCATTCTCTCTCTCTTGGCCCTATGCTAAATACACCCATGCATAAAGCATTATAATGTAGTTCTACAGGTCTGTGATAATGCTGTGCTTATTATTTATTTATGAATTTGAACCTTAAAACTCCATCATTTAATATGACCTTTTATAAATATTCTTTTTATGTTCAACTCTACGCACGCCTCTGGAACTCTCTTCCTGTTAACATCAGACGTGCCGAGACGATTGGTTTATTTAAGAAGCAGGTAAAGGATTTTTTCCTTTCACTGTAGTTGTTTGTTTTGTTCCAACTGTATGTATGTATGTGTGCGTATGTATATATACATATATACTTATTTATTTAAAATTTGTATATTTTAATATAGTAGGCATTTATGAGTATGTTTAATCGTGAATGTTTTATTGTAATTATTTTCTTTTTTTGTGTATACAGGGTGTAAAAAAACCTATGACTGAGACTAAAACTACGCATTCTGTGCACCCAAACAAGTAATATTACAAAATATATACGTGGGTTTTTTTTTTATTTTTAAGTTATTTTTTTTTTCTGTACGCAATGTAAAGCGCGGCGCGCTACTGTGGCACTACGCAAAGAATGTGCCTGTGTCTATGTCACACACATGTGTGAAGTGCGTCGATAAAAAAGTTTCTATATTGTTTTGAAAATATTAATGTATCTTGAAAAAAAATTTGACTTTGACCTTCAATATCTCCATAACCATAAATTTCCCCAGGTATGGTCCATAAGAAAAAAATGATCGTCATGATGTGAAAAATGCATCATCCAAGCCATCGACTTCGTTAAAGGTTTTTTACACCCTGTATATTAGCAACCCCCCCTCTTTTACTTAATTTTGCCTCTCCATCATATGGTTGTCTGGAAGAAATTGCTATATAGCGAAAAGACCGCCAATTGTTCACTATTTTAAGTTTTTTCCTAGTGTGTAATATTTAATGTAGAGTGCACAATAAAGTCTTATCTATCTATCTTAATTGATTTTTAGCAATGATACAAACCTTCGTAGTCAAGAATATATCGCTTCTCTTCACATCGCCACTATCAATCTTCATTTTGATGGCTTCTCCAATTTCCTCTTCCGTGTCGTAGATGGAGGCCGTGTCGAAATGGCGGTAACCCAGATCTATAGCATTCAGGACAGCATCACGAAGTTGCTTGTTCTCAGATTTTATCACCCCGTTCTGAAATTATCTAATATATACAATTCTCGTGTCGCGATGTTTGTGGTCAAACTCCTCCAAAACGGCTTTCCCGATTCTCATGAAATTTTGTGAGCATATTGGGTAGGTTTGAGAATCGGACAACATCTATTTTTCATCCCCCTAAATGTTAAGGGTAATCCACCCCTAAATTTTTTTAATTAAAATTTAATTTTAATTTTTTTATGATACATCATACAAAAATACATACAACCCTAAATTTTCACCCTTCTACCACCAACCCCTATTTTTTATGGCGGTTCGAAGTTCGCTGTTACAGCTAGTATTATTATAAAAAGCGTGGGAAACTATACATCTGACGCATTCAGAATGACGCAATGAGAACTACATATAATTTGTGTCGCTTGATGTTGAGACTATGGGACCATGGGGTCTAAGCGCTCGTTCCTTCTTAAAGGAATTGTCTAAGGCCCGTATTACAGAATGACAACTAAGTGTTGATCTTTACTTGAGTACAGTTAGAAAGGGATGTCGCTATGTGCTATATATAGCGACATCCCTTTCTAACTATGCTCAAGACTAGATTCGTTACTGAGAATCTTTCTATAATACGGGCTTTAGAGACTTACCGAGGCGACCGGTGATCAAAAGGCTGGCAGCTACCTTGGTCAACGGATTAGCTTTTGCTATCCAACGTGGAAATGCTGCCAGCCTATTGGGCACCATTCCTGACAGCGGCGCTGGGGGTGATATATTTTTTAACCGACTTCAAAAAGGAGGAGGGTCTATGTTCGACTGTATATATTTTTTTTAATGTATGTTCACCGATTTCTCCGTCAATTGTGGACCGATTTCCAATTTTTTTTTGTTTTAAGCATGCAATTGCTTGATGTTTAAATCTAAATAAAATACAACTAGAAAAAATTCCACGCGGACCAGGCAGGACTCGAACCCGCACCCTTCGCAATCCGGGCGAAGGCACTGACCAATTATGCTACCGCGGCCCTGACGGCCGCGTCGAAATTCCTCTAGCCATTCTTCGCATTGTAAGTTACCCACAATGTCAAATTCTTTTTTTAGTCGAAAGAGTGCATTTCCGAGGTGGACCCATTGAAACCAAGTCAGGATCTGATGGTGGAATCCGGAGAAATCTAGGGAAACCTTCAAATTTCAAAGGCACGCACGATGTTTTTTATGCATGTTCACCGATTTCTCCGTCAATTGTGTTATTGTTTATTTGGACGATGTAATTAAAAAAAAAAGTAATCGATTTCGAAATCGAAAATGGAACTAAAAAGTAAAAAATGGTTGCCTGTAAAGTCGGTTTTACGGGCGAAGATTTTACGTGACAACGTCTTTTTCTCGGTAGAATATTTATTGATATGAATATAATTAAATTGCACAATAGGAACAAGGAATTGAATGAAAATAAGAATTGCACAAATTTTAACTATAGAAATATATTTTGTTTACTAAAACATTGTACATGTAAACTTAAACTTAACACGAGAGACTCATCGTAACGTTACCGAGCGTTACACTTTTTCATAAGTGACTCCCAGCCGCAACCTAATTTAAGACGTTGTCACGTCAAAAATAATATCTGGTTTTATGATCTGGAAGTCGGGCGAGTCAAGATTGAAACATTAAATAGATTTTCGTTTCTGATCGGTAATAATACGTCTTTCAATCTTGACCCGCCCGAATTCCAAATCATGAACCAGATATTAGACGACCTCCGTGGCCGAGTGGTTTGTACGCCGGGTTTCATGGTATCGCTGACTCGAGAGGTCCCGGGTTCGAATCCCGGTGGGGGCTGATGTTTGTGTGATGAATTCGAGCATTTGTATTCCAGTCATGGATGTTTAATATGTATTTCCATATAAATATACTTATATATGTACAGTATATGTATTCTATCCGTTACCCTAGTATCCCATAACACAAGCTTTACAGTTCTTACTTTGGGGCTAGGCTAATTGGTGTGAGTGTTGGAAATATTATTATTATTACTTTTTACATTTTAGTTCCATTTTCGATATAGGACAGTCAATAAGATATAAATTCTTTCACCTACAAGGGCGAGAGAAAATTCGAACAATAGTAAAGGTGAAACTTTATGGTTTGTTAAAAGCGTAGAAAACTTTACATATGACGCATTCTATGTTTTTTTTCTCCCGCAGTCCACGAATGCATATAATGCAGTAACGAGTATGCTATCGAAATAGCGAATAAAATAAAAAACAAGCTATTCCAAGATGAACAGAAATAGATCCGACTTACAAAAAGTCGTCGGCCTTGAGTCACGTGACATTACGCTCTGTGCATCGTTAAATATAGGTAAGTACATGTAATTATTATAGAAGGGGGGGGGGGTTCAATATTATTTTATGATACACATAACTGTACCCCTAGCACGAACCAATATCGAATTCGTATCGTTTGCGAGTCCGAAATGTCATTGTCAAATATGTACTGATTTTTGGTTCTCGTTACGTACTTTGTGCCGCTGCTGTTCAAGTTTCCATACAAAATTTGACATTGACATTTCGGTTTGCAAACTATTCAAATTCGATAATGGTTCGTGCTAGGGGTACTGTTTAGCTTTACGTGCATTCAACCTAAAGCGATATTTTGAATAGGTACCTATATATTATATATGCCATCGATACATTTTTTTAAGTAAAACTTGATTTCGGACGCGGTGTTAGTGTAAAAATTGATTGATGATTCATTTTGCATTTCCTGTTTGAAATATAAAAAATGTGTGCACGGACCACACATCTGAAGTGAAACTTCTTTACATAAATAAACTAACATTAGGCGGTGCATAAGGCATAGGGGAATGGAGCAGGCAATCATTCCACACTTTTTTTTTATTTTCAAAACGAAATTTGAAAGCAACCCTTACTTTTTCTAATCTTCAACGCCCGTTATGAATCCGTTACTAAAAGTAAGCTTCAGAGAAACTGTTATTTTTATAGTTAAAACTTATTTAACATACCTGGTTGAATCCAAGATACGTGCCTAGAGCTAATGCGGGCATGTCCCTTCCATCGTTCAGCTTGAATTTTGCCACTTTCTCAGCTGTAGTTATCACCTGCACAGATTTTGGCCTTTTAAAAACAGTTGCAGTAATATCCATGTTTCACTAACGAATATCAATACTATTAAAAAATAATAGTAATGATTATAATATTAAGTGACTATTTATGAAGAAAGAACGAATAAAATGATTATGTAGGTATATTAAACTGTTAACTTAATTTTTGAGGGTAATTTGATATAAACTCCTACCAAAGAAAAATAGGCAATCGATTCTTTCCCATTCCGTGTTAATTTAATACTGTATCTACAAAAATAATTATAAAAACAATCACTAAAACATAATTTTATTACTTAATATATTTTGAAATTAAAAAAAAAATGATTTCGATCTCCCGCGAAGTGAATCAATAATTAATTTGGTCTTGAAAAAAATAAGTATTTTTATCATGCAGGTATGGCAACACTGTGCAATATTTTTTTTATTCTTTCCCGCTTATTTAAAATTAATCTGTAATGGATGAATAAACAAAATAATAAATAAACATGAATGAATAAAGCGCGATAGAGTGACGATTTGCGCAAGGCTGGCAGGAGCTGGATGCGAGTAGCTCAAGATCGATCTAAATGGCGTACATTTGGAGAGGCCTATGTCCAGCAGTCGACTAAAATAGGCTGTTGATGATGATGATTAAACCCTCTTCACAATTGCCCATGATGGGCGATTATAGACACGCACGATTGTGGAAGAAGCATAATCGTGCAAAAGTGGCCATCATCACCTGTAATCGTCAGTATTCGGTAAATTGTCGGTACATCAAAGGCAAGCGTGCCGATGATCGTGCGCAAGTTACCTTCTTACAACCTGGATCCTTTAAAAGAGCCGTGAAGAAGCAACATGCAGGCCGGCAAGATGAGGATGGCTGGAGTGGCAGGTAGAACTGCTGTACCAGCTATCAATATAAATCACGTCTGGACTTCACTGACACATAAAATCAGGTGGGATGAGGTGGAGTCATTTGTCGGACCTATCTATAAAAAAAAAGTCCGTACAATCGCATCGCGAGTGACGTGTGGCGGCGTTTTGTATCGGCGCATTAAGTGGCCGGTGCGGGCCACAAGAAGCGAGCAACGACGATTTGGAGCGTGTGGCGGCCACCGGCGTACTGTGTGTGGCGAGTCCATATAAAATGTATGAAAAATAGAAATATGCCGGTGGCGGCGTTTTGTGGTTGTGGTCGGTGGCCCGTGTGCGGTGACACTAACGGTCAGCGCTAGACGCACGCCCGCCCGCGCACCTCGTTTCCCCAAGACATCTTAATTTTTACTTCTGCGCAGTAACGGTCAGCGCAAGAGTTTCACTTTGAGCTGTCACTTCGACGTCCATCTTCAGAAGACGACGGTGACATAAATGAACAGTCACGATTATGTAGAGAGCAACTTGTCCTCGCGGCAATGATGGCCCCCTTTGAATAGCTAAACCAAAACTTTGTCCGAGGTAGCTGCCAGCTCTTCGGTCTCCAGTGATGTCGACTAACCTTTTTGATATTTCCTTAAAAAACCTTATAGCGTTGGGACCCCACGGACCAAGGGTCTCGACACCGAATCGGACAAAATTATATTCGGAGCCTAGACTCCTGTATTATTACTATATTGTCTGGCAAATTATAATTAAATATAAAAAATGTACTCACCAGCAGCGCCACAAACACACAAGCACCCAACATGATTATTACTGAGAGATTGCGCCTAAAGCACACGGACGGACCCAATAAATATTATGCTTAAAGTGTAAAACACTAAGTCCGTGTTCAGACGATCCGCGCGCAGTTCGCGTAAAGCCGCAAATATATTTCTTTTGTAGTGAAAGGCAAAACTGGAAATGGGTGGTAGCTAGAAATGTGGCTAACTGTACCAGCTTGCATTTAGTCATTTTAGGATGCTGTTGGGGCTGTCGCGATATTGTAGTGCATCAACGATTTTTGCTGACGCCCATGTTGACGATTACTACGCTATTATGCGCAGAAGAGTAGCGTCACTGATGCGCAGAGTCAAGGGTAGCTCTAACAGCATCTTGGCCGTCATAGCAGGCAAATTGGAGAGTCCGTTGTGGAGACATTGGGTACAATCTCATGTCTCCACATATATTAAAATAGAAAATAGTTTAAATAGAATTGTGCTAACATAGTTTTCCTAGTTTCAATGTTACTAACCCTCTATGGACTATACGGTCTGAAATAAATGATTATTATTATTAGTCAGGTCGAGAAGTAGATAATATTTCAATTATAAGTTAAAAATAATAAAAACCCAAAATATTGGGTGTTTACGTGTTTAAACCCGGTTTTTACCCAGCTGCGTTAAAACCCAGGTGGATTGCCCATCTATACGTAACACATTTCCATTTCATCTTTTCCATAGGATTTTTCCATGTACACCCCCGTCCAAAAAGAAGTTCCTCTTCAAAAATATGGCGTGTGCGTAAACGGCGCGGGTCATCTGAACACGCCCTTACCTTACCTTCCTTATCGTATGATGATGTCCTCTCTGCCAGTTTTAAAAGTAGGTACTGCGCTTTTTGTTCGCACGTATTGCCCCGCACGGGAGGTTGATACTGTCAAATTAAATGGAAATAAATAAAAAGAAAGCTAGCGGTTTTCCCGCGAGATTTCGAGTGAGTAATTGCGATTGAGACTTAAGCCAGTAGATACCCCAAGAATAGGATACATTTAATCTAGCGACCCAAAGCACAAAGAACTAGCGAGAAATTAGGTACTCATATAGCTATTGCCAAGTTTCTATGGAAGGTTAATCAATTTTGTTTGTTTGTTTTTTTTATGACTCCACCCCACCTGACAAGGCCGTCGCCAGCTTATGACTAAAGGGGGGCGGGGGCAATGGGGCAATATAATAGGTAAGGAAGTCAATTGCTCGCACTTTGGTCGCTTTGCGGCTAGCTACATTTGATCTCTAGGGGGGGGGACTGCCCCCCACTGCCCCCCCTTGGCGACGCCCTTGCCACCTGATGTTAAGTGACGGTGAAGTCCAGATGCGAAGGTAGCTGATACAGCAGTTCTACCTGCCGTGACTTGACCGCGTCTTGACTTCACCGTTACTTAACATCCGGTGGGGCAGTCATTTGCCGGACCTATCTATTAAAAAAAATATAGCCAAAGTTTCTATGAAAACTAAGTAGTTATCGGATCTAAAAACAAACTAGATTTTTTCATACGAAATTTGACTATTACGTTACTTTGTACTAAGGCTTTCAGTCCAGATACATTTTCGAGTCCCGGGAAAAAAAATCGAGACTCGGACCAGTCCCGGGATTCCCGGGAAAAACGAGACTTTCGAGACCTTTAGAAATCAGTTTCATACTCAAGGTTTATACCATTAGGCAATTAATACAATATGTTTCAATTAAGTTCTTTAATAATCAACTATTACAATGCAATCAAATATAAGTAAAATTTAAAATTTTCATTTTTATAATAGGCACGCGGAAAGCAAAGTGCATTCAAAGTGTTTTCAGATAGAGAGTATCTGACCTTGTTGCAAAAGTAACCTGCATTAGAAAAAGCTCTCTCTGTTTCGGCGCTAGTAGGGTGGATGGATAACAAATAATTATAGCACTGATTTAAATGCTTACCTCTGTCGCCACCAACTGTTGTGCTAAGGAACACATGGTAGCTATTAATTCACACTTTTTATAAAGAAACAATAAGTGAAGTTGTGAACGTATTGTGTTTGAGGTTAGGTTGCAATCTTTACAGATTATCCTAACTTTCACTTTACAGTGTTGCCACGTAACCGAATTAAAAATAGAATGGTAGTTTAGTAGATTGGTATTTTTTGTAGATTATTTAACAAAGTCTCGAAAACTGGAGTTGCGGTCTCGAGTTTCGAAAATGTGACAAAATCGTCGAGACTCGGAATTTTCGAGACCAAGACTCCCGGGATGAAAGCCCTACTCTGTACTGAGGTATAATCACTAGTTTCTAACAGCTACGTTTATATTATTACACACAGTACAACTTATTCGGCTAAAACATGCACACAGTCCGATCAATCATATATTACCTTTACAATCAAAGTAATAAAGTTGAATATTCCTTCATCGCAACATCGTCCTTGAGAGTTGTCGTTTCATCCTCGTCTTATCTTCTGAAGTAACTTTTTTATATATAAATAAACAGGAGTATATTGTACCTATGTTCCTTTACAAACAAGCCAACCAAGAGTTTTAACGGTCAATTGTGAGTATTCGAAGGGCACTTTTTTCTATAATCAAGCTGGGAATGCCAGTGTAGTACATATTTTGTCATAAGTTTTTGTCTAGCAACAACTAAGTTGAAAGTTGGTTAAGCAGATTAATTGTTTTAATCTAAGCATCGTTGGTACTGATTGTATCTCCAATCGTTTGCACCCGCCAAAACGCCAAAACGTATCTCATTGCCAACAAACATATTACATATAACTATCTGACGACCTCCGTGGTCGAGTGGTTTGTACGCCGTGTTTCATGGTGTCGCCGACTCGACTGGTCCCGGTTTCGAATCCCGGTGGGGGTATGTTTGTGTGATGTATACGAGCATTTGTACTCCAGCCATGGATGTTTAATATTTTTTTTTATATAAAATATACTTATATATGTACTGTACCCTTAGTACGAGTTTGAGGTCAAGAAAACTATCATAGTTTTCGTAATTGTCAATTATGTTTCTCTCTCCATTTTGGTGAAAAGTAACCAAATATACTTAAATTTTAAGAAGACGCAAATGATTTAATGATAGAATTTAAACACTGTTTATTTGTATTGAAACGAAAACTATATAATCAGTACCCTCAGTACGTGTGCGAGCTCACGAAAAAAACTATCATAGTTTTCGTAATTGTAAAACTCGTACTAAGGGCACTGTATATGTATTCTATCCGTTACCCTAGTATTCCATAACACAAGCCTTACAGTGCTTACTTTGGGGCTAGGCTAATTGGTGTGTGTTGGAAATATAAAAAAAAACTATAAAAAATCATTTTTTTATTATACTTGTGACCTTATTCTCTTCTTTAGTGGAGAAAAGATTTTTTTCAAATTAATATTACTAAGCTAACATTAAAAATATATAAGGTTTATCTGTCTGTCTGTCGAGATCTTTTAACTTAGGAACGCGTGGAGATATTGAGTTTACAAAAAACTGACGTGTGCTGTTCATATGCGATCCGTCTTGGTAAATGACAAAATTACGGATACCTATCTCGTGTCAAATACTTTACTTCCGTTACATCGAACCGCAAATCACAACGGTGCTAAATAAGTTTTCACTTCAAAAAACATATACTCAGGTCTACAGCCACATGAAGTTTTGGAAATATCAAAGTTCTTGAAAGTTAACATGAAAAAAAGTTACAGCCGTTTATATTGCGTACCTACAAAGTACGGAACCCTCAATGGCGTGTCCACTCGCACTTGTTCGGTTTTTTTTCATTAACCTGCTATATATACTATCTGGCACTGATCTTACCAACACGCCTGCAACAACGTGATCACCAGAGAAGGTTTTATTGCATTTTACGATCAAAATCAAACATACTTCTCCAATCTAATAACCTGAAATCTTCACAATATTCAATTAAAGGATTGTAACTCTTATCCTGTGGTACATAGTGTTGCAAATGCAAGTTTCAATGGCGTATAGCGTCCAATCACACAATTCCGGATACTTAAGAGCATTGTTTGTAAATAAACCTTTTGTTGATCGCTTTTAAGGCTTAGCGTGTATAAGTGAGTGGAAAATTGTTAAGGTGTCAATACATATTTTTCATTATTAATTTTGTGGCGTCCCCAAGTGTGATTAACGAAGCAAGACTTGACGCTCCACAACAACACATACAAAATAAGTATGGAAGCCTACATCGCGCAAGAGAAATTCGGAGACAGGCTCTCTATATATACAATGCCCGACCAACATCAGTCGGCTGCGCCAATTATAACTTAATCCGGAACGACGGCCACAGCGGTGGCACTCTCGTCTACTACAAGCGGTCCCTCCATTCACCGTTGTTCCCCACTGGTCCCTCCCGCTCTGACTGATTTAGGAGTCTCCGTCTGTCGGCTAGGAATGACCGGGCATCGATCGGTCACGAATGTGCCAGCTTACCTATCCCCCAACAAAAGCCCTCACCCAACCAGACCTAGCCTAAAGACCCTGTTGTAACACAACCAACCGTAACTGCAGAGGTTGCTTTCCAACGCCTCTGACACTATGGTGTTTGACATCATAGTGCCCCTCACACGCGCCCACTTTCCTTACCAAGCAGGTTACACTGTTAATCCCCTAGACATGGCCTTACTGAAGAAAGTAGCCCTTAGGCTGTGTTCGATAGAAACGGTCCATGCACTCTCGTCCGACCACCGCCCAGTTGTCTTACAATTGGGCACACCCTCTGACCTCCTATCCTCAAGGACAGTGACGAACTGAAGGAGGATCGAGAAACTACTCAAACCCTCCACCAGCTCGCCATTCAACTCCATCCCCGACCATATCACCTCCCCTTACAAAACCCTCTCTGCGATCGGAGCCCTCTGGAGCCATCTCACTTCTGCAATAAGCAAGGCGTCCCGACAAGTTGCAGCGATGCCAGACCATCACGGCAAGTTACTGGACGATGCTAGATAGCTGTTAAGGGCAAAGAATGGTGCCACTAGAGCATTCGACAGCTACCCCACGGACGACAACCGCTCCCGATTGCGTACCTTGCAGCGTGCTGTTAAGGCGCGCATGAACGAAATACCAAGTCCAAGTGGGACGAACTACTTGAAGAGATTTCGCCATCACACCAAGCTTATTGGAAGCTGGCGAGATCCTTCAAGTCAGAGGTCGAATCCTCTATGTCTCCTCTCCCCCTCTATACCATACCTGACCGATCGATAGCGTTTAACGACGACGAAAAGGTCGAATGCTTGGCCGACAGCCTGGAGGCGCAGTGCTCGCCTAGTACTCTCCCTGTCACCCCTGAACACGTCTAGTTAGTCGACTCAGAAGTCGAAAAGTCCTCCTCCGTGCCGCCCACCGCCACCCTTGAACCGGTCACTGTCGATGAGGTGCACTCGTTAATCCGTAAACTGCGCCCGCGTAGCGCCCCTGGGTCAGACGGAATCTCTAGTAAGATCCTTAAGATCTTACCCGCTCAACGCCTTTGCCTTATCACCGTGATCTTTAACGCGGCTAGGACAAACGAGATATTTCTGGCAGAGTGGAAAGAGGCCGTCGTTATCGGGATCCGGAAATCCGGTACCGCCCTATAAGTCTCTTCAAAACGTAGGGGATACTTTACGAATGTGCCCTAGCCGCCTTATAGATTTTCTCTTCGCGAACAATCTTAAAATTGACGAACCGTTTGGTTTCCGTCCCAAACACTCGTGTGGCCACCAGGTGCCTCACCTAACACCTTCAGTCAGCCTGCGTGGTGGTTTATAGCCCGATTGCCTATATCACAGAAAACAGAAACCTCTTCCCGTGTCCTATGGCCCTGTTCCTTACAAAGGGAAGGGCTGTACCCACTAAAATATTTGAAATAAAAAAATAGTTTTAAACCAACAATAAAAACCGACTTTCAAAACGAAAATGGAACTAAAAAGTAGTATCCGAGTTCACACGAAATCGGGCGGGACCTAGTATGATTTGGAAGTTTTTCATTTTTGAGTTCCAATTTCGTTTTTGAAGTCTCTTTTTATTTATTGTTTAATTCCTTAGATAAACATTGTTGAAGACTTTTTCACGAGATTGTACACGCACTCATTAAGCGACAGTTTCTTGTTGTCCATTTCATTAAGTGGGCAAACTTTGTTGTGCACGGTTGGGATTAAAATGTACAATAATTAGTCAAAATTATCGATAGTTCAGTTATAATAAAAATGTTGGTATTGTTATTTTTGATAACTGCTGTGTCCGCTCGGTCATCGGCGAACGAATCTTTCAAAGATCAATGTAAGCTAAGAGTTTTTATCAAACTTGCATACAATGAAGTACAACAATTACTAAATATATTACATTGACAGACTAAAAGCGATAGAACAAATGCACTTACACTACACAACACGCACGCAGGTACATATACAAAGACACTCACATAAAAACACACACACACACCGGTTAATGCTATACCTAGGTACTTTCTCAATATTATTATTATTATATATTTTTTATTTAGTATTTTGAATTATTGTAGCTTTAAAGTACATATATCAACCGCAACTACAATACTTTGTAAACGTAACAATAGATGGGAGAGCACTGTCTTCTGGTCCTCAGGGTAACCTTTTCCAGAGGACAGGGTTCAGATTATCATGTACCAAAATGTAAAGTGGTTCCAATTAGTTGTTATTTACCCCGAATATGTAGAGTATGCTCCTTTATGGACAACGAGGAGGACGAGAGAACAATACCATGTATATATTTATAACCGAGTTCAAAAAAAGAGGAAATATTGTTTTAAACTTTCACGATCACTAACATTATAGATATTAACGGGATTGTTACCATGTACCTTGTTTTTTATGAGTCTCCGATATTTCGGCACTGTTGCAAGCGCCATGATCACGGAGTAACTGACGTCGTCTTTTACTGCGATCGAGCGCAGTAAGCGGCTTTTGGCGGCTGTCGGCGCATATTATTTTCTCCGAGGGTTGTTGACCGATTTTGATGATTGATTTCTTGTTTGGAAAAGTTTGTTAACTTTAAATACAGCCATATTTTATGGAGTCTTTTAAATACACTCGACTGCAAATAAACTAGGCCACTTGCTACCACGGCACTCTAATTTGGCGCTTAAAAATAGCCTCCTCCCACAGGATCACGGTGACTCAATATCCTGTTACAAAACTCCACTAATGACATGCATGCTAAAATTTGTTTTGCTTTTCCACCAAGTCTGCACGGATCCGAGGACACTGCAGAAGCACGCAACTTACACGGAATGGGCTGATGCGTACTCTTGCACCAGGCACAGGTGTCAGCCGGGCGGACGAAACCTGGCCATATACACAGTAGGGTGAGTCAATTAGTTTAAAACAGCGTCTTCATATACAGGGTAGTTTTTTGACTGGGGGGGCGGTATGGTGGGCAGTAGGCCGCGTACCCAGCCCCCACACGCGGGCCTACCTGCGCTAAGACTTGGGGGAGCCAGGTGTGAGGCGGTGTGTTCGGCGGTGTGCCTCATAAAGGCGCCGTCGTCTGTAAAAAGATTTTTTACCTGCGTTATAAAAAAAGGGTAGTTTTTTGGAACTTAATTTTTTTTCTGGATGAAAAGTATCCTTTGTCTTAATCCAGGTTTTAACTATAACCCCCTTATTAATGAACTAGGGACAAGCTAAGACTAGTTACGCCGTGTTTTGTCCATATCACCTGAATACCATTTGTCATTCAATGAACAGAGACAAAACATGGTGTCCAAGCATATTCTTAGTTTATTAAAAAGGGGGTATGTATGTGTAGCCCACCGGATTAGCAAGTTGAAGTGGCAGTGGGCTGGCCATATTTGTCGAAGAACCGATAACCGTCGGGGTAGACGAGTTCCGGAGTGGAGACCGCGTCTAGGCAAACGTAGTGTAGGATGTCCTCGATCAAGGTGGCTGGCAGGAGCTGGATGCGAGTAGCCCAAGATCGATCTGAGTGGCGTGTATTTGGAGAGGCCTATGTCCAGCAGTGGACTAAGATAGGCTGTTGATGATGTATGTGTGCCAAATTTTGTCCCAATCCGTTCAGCCGATTTTGCGTGTTTGAGTAACAAACATAGAAACTTTTACATTTATTCAATTCAAATAATTTATTTCAGAACTAGGTTCCATAGTGTTGGTTACATTTGATTTACTTATAAATATGTTAGTTTAATAGAGAATTAGATAAAAATATTATTACAGGATATTCGATATCCTGTTAATATAAAATTTATGTCTTTAGTATTTCTCTTTAGTGCTTCACCTAGTGTCGTAGCAGAGGGGTGTCCCTCCAGTCATTAAATACTCTCAGGAGGCTGTTGGTGCTAGAGCGGAGCCTAGTGACATAATACATACAAGAGCAGTAGCGTATATCAGCAGTTTTCTTGAAATAAATAAATAAAATAAATAATAAATATTTCCAACACTCACACTAATTAGCCTAGCCCCAAAGTAAGCACTATAAGGCTTGTGTTATGGGATGCTAGGGTAACGGATAGAATACATATACTTTACATATATAAGTATATTTATATAGAAATACATATTAAACATCCATGACTGGAGTACAAATGCTAGTGTTCATCACACAAACATCTGCCCCCATCGGGATTCGAACCCGGGACCTCTCGAGTCGGCGACGCCATGAAACCCGGCGTACAAACCACTCGGCCACGGAGGTCGGAATAGATAGTTGGTACCTACAAAATGTAAACCATATTTGCGTAGATTTTTATTGTATGTGTATAGTTACTATTGCCGCGTTACGGAATCGAAACAGACGCAGACGGCGCGGGCGGCGCGGCGCAGCTAACTGAACTTGGCCAACGACCAGTCTCGGCGGCGCGCGACGTGGCACTGCGTAGATTTGTCTTGTCAAGATTGGTTAGCGGCCGTGTAAATGACGTTTGTCTGTGTGCGTGCGTCGATTCGGGCGCTAGTATGAAGTCGGAGTACTGCTCTTGTATGTATTGTGCTAGTGAGCATGGAAGCGGACCTCTTTCTGATAATAGCATAGAAGTTGTCCGTATGCGCCTCCGCAAACATTTTTGACGCGCTGCAACTCCATGACAGTCTCAACAGTATCCTGGAGTCGTTGTTATATTGGATACGTAGGTCGTTGTATGTCCGCTGCGTATAGTTGGTCCAAATGCTGCATGTATGGAATCATTAGTAGAATCCTAGATATTATCAGCAATGAATTTGTTTTTTTTTTTGCAGGTGCAAGCGAGTTGAAGCTCCAGAGTCGGCGATTGAGTGCGAAGAGGTGGTGGAAGATACAAACATGCAGTTTCCCTTCTGCTGCACCAGGCTAAGGTTTGTAATCATTTCTTTCATAAAATAGATGCAGTGCAGATGGTAATCTAGTCACAGAGTACCTTATACCAGTGCGAGTGAAAATCTAAAAAAAAACTACAGGTTGCACTCCGGGAGTGCCGGCAGAAGTGAAAACTTGAATATTAATTTTGTGCATTTTGGATATTTTGGAATGGTTAGGTAATAATTTTGCACGAATTGCTTTAATTATCAGTATAAAAGTACTATCATGTATGTGGTAGAATACAATATTTATTTATTGCGCTATCGTACACAAACATGACAATTTATATTACATTAAAAAGTTTATCTCTCAGAAAAATCAACTTACATGAAGCACATTTAAGCGCACCTAGCGACATCTATTGTAAAGAAAATGCATTTCCTACGCAATAAAGCTGCCGCGTGGCGTGGACGTCCTAGATAGAGCCTTATTATTATAATACGGTAAAATAAAATATTACTATGTTTCGTCCAATATATTGAAATTCAACAACCTTTCCAATTTTATTGTGTGTCATGGTGCGATCAGCCCACTTGTTTAACCTGACGCGAGTTTAACATTTTTTACCCATATAAAAAAAAAATGTGCTTACACAAAGTGTATAGTGTAAAACAATGTTCTAAATCTATAGGTACCTACTATTTACTTAAACTAAAATTTACGGTATATATCTCAGCTCATCAATACTGTAATTTAGTTGTGAGCCAGTGATTCCCAAAGTAGGCAAAGAAGACCCCCTGGGCAATTGCTGTCTCAGATTTCAGCCACCTGCGACCTATTTGTTTTAATCTAAGCCTGCGAAGCAATTCTTTACCATTAGATATAATCTTCGCATTATCTTTACGAGTAAAACGAAACGCAAATGCATCACGATCGTCAAATGATTATTTATATATATGTGTGTGTGGGATGCGTGCGCAGCTCTTCCCGGTGAGCATGAAAGTTGGAAGGTAACTCGGCGAAGGCTGAAACGCTACGAGCGTCACACGCGACAATATATTTAAGAGTGATGTGTGTGCTACTCCATTCCCCTATGCCTTATGCACCGCCTAATGTTAGGTCATTTAAGTAAAGAGGTTTCTCTTCAACCGTGTGGTCTGTGCACACAATTTTTTTACCTTTGGACGACACGCTCTCCTGCGATAATCATGATTTTAAAGCTTTAGAGTCATGCAGTATAAGAAGTTCCTGATAAAGTTTTCTCAAGTATATGTCACACAACACTGTATGAATGTTGTTGAGCTTTAGAGAGCACGTTAAGCCATTGGTTCCTGCCGCATCTGCAGTCGTTACCGTTAGCATCCACCAATTCGCACTGCACCCGCGTGGTGGGTTATGCCACTATCTTCCTATTACAGTAAAGGGAAGGCCTGTGCCCCACCAGTGGGGACATTAATAGGCTGATAATGATGATATATAGGTCACGGTTCGCAGAAGGTGTTAAACTTTTTCGATCTGCTTTTATGCAGGTGCTTGGTGTTAGTTCGTGGTGAAGTATGGACGCGAGTGTTGGGTCAGCCTTGGGAGACACTGCCAGCAGCGCCTTGGAGTCATATGTACAAAATGAAGAAACCACCTCCGGGCGATGCCAACTTCTTGCCGAAGTAAGTTGAAGAGGTGAACTAAAATCTCTATAATAGCTTTCCATCCAGTACTGTCTTTGTTTTTAGTGAATGATGAATTACTGGAGTAATAATGACTATTCTTTGAGGAGATCGATGTAGCAATGGTAAGCGCGTCCGGTTTGCAAACATAGAAGTAAAGCAAAATACGGAATAGCTGATTATATAGGATAGGACGGGTCACTAAATTATTTATTGTCTCGAGCTCCGCTGCAAATCACGTTATTTCGTTGGTGCCAGCCGAAATTACAGTCGTGAGCATCCACGTATCCACACTTGGCCGTCATGGCAGATCATGAGTAGGGTTGCCACCCGTACGTTATTTCTGGTAATTATACTCTATACTTTATGCTAACAATAAAGTACAAGAAAATACTTTTCTTAACGTGATTTGATCACTCGGGGATTAATTTTACATAAAATATACAAAGGTTGATATGAATATTTTTTGCGTAAAACAGACATACAGTATGAATATAACGCTCTTAGCTAATTCAACCTTGCAACATTTTCGTGGCTGTATGGCTTTGTTCCATAACCTTTCCCATTGCTGAAAAGAACTACAGATTTTTAGTAGGCACAAATTATTTAGTAGAAGTTGCAAGTTATTTAAGTAGCAACGTAAAATATAATTTTAAGCTTACTAATAAAGTGGAATAAAAAGTACTTTATTTTGGACACGATGTACTTTTTTTCTACCTTTAATATCCAAATGTACTTTATTTCGACAAAAAAAGGTGGCAACCCTAATCATGAGTCATGCATGGCTTATTCTCCCTATTCTACCCGCAAAGAAAGCCTTTGCTGTATCCCAGAATCGGGGATAAATTAATGATAGGCTGATGATAATCATCATCATCATCATCAGCCTATTAATGTCCCCACTGCTGGGGCACAGGCCTTCCCTATGGATGGAATAGGGAGATTGGGCCATGACCCACCACGCGGGCCCAGTGCGGATTGGTGGGTGCTAACGACTGCAAATGCAGCCGGGACCAACGGCTTAACGTGCCTTCCGAAGAACGGAGGAGCTCGAGATAGTAAATTTTTGGTCACCCATCCAATGACCGACCACTGCGAAATTTGCTTAACTTCAACGATCGCAGCCGAACGCGCTAGCCACCTGCGCCATCGAGCTCCTCATAATGATAATATAATGTCGATATAAAGTGAGAAATGACGATATAAAGACGAGTCAGTATAATTATTAAATTTGACGACCTCCGATGTGAAAAGTGGCATTTATACCAGTTTCCAAGCTGTCGCCTACTACGAGGTCCTGGTTTCGAATCCCGTTGGGAAAATCTTTTATTCTAATTTCTACAAAGTCATAGCTGTTTCAATTTTCTTTCTACAAAAATATGCTTATCTATGTATCGTTATATGTTACCTCTTGATTGTTCATACCATAAGATACCATATAAAAAATATCTACTATATATGGTAAATACACTCGTCGCTACATACGCACACATTGACTGCTTTAAAAACAATCTGACATTAAAACTACACACACATTGCGCGTAACATGAGTCGTTTTCTTTGCGTGGCTTATTTGGAATAGTCTTTCTAGGCTCGTATATAATCAAAGCCATTAGCATTCCATAATACAAGCCTTATAGTACTTGTACTTTAGTGCTGGGATAAATGGTGTGAAAAAAAAATCTCTGATTATAGGAATCCCAGTGAAGGCCCAGTGTACGAGCTATTATCAGACCACGAAAACAATGAGAAGGTACTCAGATCAGGCAAGAAAACTGCAGCCGAAACCCCAGATTGTAATGAGATTGTGCCAAGGGCGTCGGTGCCAACTCCAGATATAGTTGTAAGTGGATATTTTCCATATAGATAATAACTTTTATAAGTACCCATGGAACATATTTAAGTTAACCTTAGTGTTATGTCTAAATTAAGATAAAAGTCGCGGAATTATATAGAGCATAAAAAAATATACTAAAATATCCTGACAAAATTACTCTTTGATCCAGGATCTGAAAGAAATACATACACGACGAATATAGAATCGCCTCTATTTTTTTAAAAGTCGGTTATGCTATAGGATAACTACGTAAATCTGCTTCTGTTCAGTCATGTTTCTACGTCTCCTCCTTAAAATATTAATTGAGGTGGAAAGAGTCACATGGAGTTTGGACGTAGTGTTAATGTTAAGTGTACAAATAAACAACCAAATTCATGCTATTCACAGGCCTGTTTGGTGTTATTTCACTTTCTAGTCTTGTAACTAACAGATTACTAAAAGGGGTGTATTGGCTGTAAAGTTTCCGATGACGCGCGTAGAAATGGATACTACAACATAAATATTATAACATTGTCATTTAAGAATTGTATGGATAAAGCTTCTGGATTAATTTACTAAACGGCATTTATTTTTCAGATAGCTCTATCAACGTCTAATGATGGGAAGGACCTCAAGAAAAAGGAAAAAAGGTAAGTCCTACTTAAATTCAGAAACAACTTGATAATACACATCAGATAACTTTCTTTAAGCGTCAGTGATCCTAATGTGCATCGTGTGATGATAGCTTCTTCTTTTCGACGACCTCCTTGGCCGATAGTTTGTACATGGTGTCGCCGACTCGAGAGGTCTCCCGGGTTCAAATCCCGGTAGGGGCAGATGTTTGTGTGATGAATACGAGCATTTTATTCTCCAGTCATGGATGTTTAATATGTAATTCTATATAAATATACTTACATATGTATTCTATCCGTTACCCTAGTATACCATAACACAAGCCTTACAGTTCTTACTTTGGGACTAGGCTAATTGATGTGTATGTTGGAAATATTTATTTATTTTATTATTATTCGTGTATATTACCATTATTTTCACAGGGAAAGACATAAGAGAGGTCGCAAAGCCCAGTCTAATATCTTCGAAGAGGAAAACGCGGATCCAAACACCAATCAGCATAATGAAATCGAAGTTGATGAAGTAGCGGTAGATAAAGAAAAGGTTATTAAATTGACTTGGTTGCTATTCTAACTTTGATTATTTAAAACCTTTTAATGTGAAAACTTTTGTTCTTCAGCGTCTTAAGTTATCCATGGCACGTTAAGTCATTGATTCAGGCTGCATAGAATAAAATTTTTGTAACCCTCCAATCCGCACTAGGTATGCGGGGTGGATGGTGTATTATCTTCCTGTATTCAAGACTAGCGGCTGCCCGCGTACGCGTGGAGTAAGTGAGAAATAAAGGTTCACTGCTCGTTCCCCGTAGGTGATAGCGTGATAATATGTAACCTATATGTTGACCCGACTTCTTAATAATATTCGTGCCAAATTTGAAGTAAATCCATGCAGTACTTTTTGAGTTTACCCCGGGCATACATACAGACAAATGGACAAAAACTCTAAAAACTATATTTTTGGCTTCGGTATCGATTGTAGATCACACCCCAAGTATTCCCTCAAAAGAATATTCAATGTATAGTTTTGACTTTTCTACCATTTTATTAATTGTATACATGTTAATAGGTTGATGATGATGACTTTATTTGTTTATTTCTCCAGCCAGCTCCTGCGGATATTGTTTCGGAAGAAAAATATTTTACGAACGGTTATGGAGTAACCCAGAAAAGTTTCAAGGTAAAGAAATTTAAGAGATTCAAAATGCTATTTAACTACCACCCACCTAACTAACTCGATAAGAATGCATAGATCAGTGTTTCTTAAACTTTTTGCAGTCATCGACCCTTTTCAAAATTTACCGGAAGAAAGCCACGATCAAAGAATATTTTAGGAAGACCAAATAAAAAAAGATTTCTTGATTTTTAAACACTTTTAGAACTTCAGAGAATATAGCAAAAAGAGACAATATATCCATAGGTTCTCCTTGGTTGTTATATTTTTTCTGCAATCTTAGATGTGCATAGATATTCCAATGCCTACTAAGTAAGTAAATATTTAGAAAGTGTTTAATTTTTATCACTTACAGGCATCACAGTACCACCAGTCATGGACGGAAATTCCCTCGAACTTGTGGAGCGATCATGAGACTCCAACGGCGGAAACTGAAACCACAGCAAAGGTATGATTTTAAAATTTAGTTCAATATTTTACAAGTATACCATGCTCACTAAAATTATTAAGATTCATATTCACAGGTAACCTACCTGTTAAACCAAATGTTCACAAACTTACTTTTATACCAAATTCATTGAAGTTACTTGCCTACCAACCACGTTATCAAATATATAAACTTGTTAAAAAAAGCTTGTTAAAATAGAGAGATTACTCGAATTAAATATGCAGTAATAACGTTTATACAAACTGTCGTAAACTTAGGTATGTTTTTATTTTTTAAACATTTAACTGCTAGATGTTAAAAAACAGTATTCATTTGAAGTTTACCTACAATGCGATGAGATGGCGCTGCCTTGCAGCCTAAGGCTAGAGAAAATTCGAAACGGCCGGCAGGGCCGCGGTAGCATAATGGCCAGTGCATTCGGCCGGATAACGAAGGGTACGGGCTCGAGTAGTAAACCTTTTTATATGTAACCTTAGGTAGTTTAAAAATAAAATTTTAAAATATTCGAAGAAAAAAACGAATCATCTATTGCTTTCTTAAGCCACTATAATGAATTACCTCCAATAGGGGTGATGAAAGGGTAAATTAAACGAAATTCTATTTAGTCCGTCGGTTAAATTATCAAAAATAAAAGGACACATATGTTTTCTTTTGTTAATCAACCAAAATATGACAAAGATAAAGCATGTCAAAGTTTGGGAGTAAAAATTGTACCAGCAGTGCTATTCTGAAAAATTTTCACGCGCGGATCCGATACGGATCCGCGTGTTTCCCATATAGATAGGCGCGGATCCGCATCGGATCCACGCGTGGAATTTTTACAGAATGTAGGCCCAGAACGCGACATGTCAAATCAATATATCTTTGTAATGTTTTGATTATGTGACATGACACGTGTCCAATTCTCGATACAGAAGAAAATGAAATAAAACTTAGTATTATTTCTAGATCCTTAACGCCCCCTTGTGAGCTTTCAACGAACACCAGGGGGCGTTTTTCCCACTTTGACAAAGACTGTGTTACCTATTTATTTCGGTTTTCGGAGTTCAATTTCCGATTGAATATGTTAAGCAACTTTCCCAACGGCCTTCCATAAGATGGGTGATCAAAAAATTAATTTCTTTCAGGACGGCAACCTCACCCCAGACTCCGCCGCTCCAGAAGAGAAGAGAGAAGACAAGCCTTCTAATCTCCAAGCATTAGTAGATGCTATAGGAACAAGAATGAGGGATATTGAGAACGTTGTCCAGAAGATGAGCGAAAAAGTGCACCAGGCTAAACCAGCGCAGACCGAATTCAGCGGGGAGAAGAAGTGAGAAATACTTATCTGTACTTATTTAACACTAGCGGGCCGCCCTCGCTTCGCTTCGGTGTAGAGCTGAAGTGTAGACTCAAACTTGCATTCCCTATTTTATCCCTTTGGGGGTAGAATTGGTCAATATCCTTTCTTAGCGGATGCCTACGTCATAACATCTACCTGCATGCCAAATTTCAGCCCGATCCGTCCAGTGGTTTGGGCTGTGCGTTGATAGATCACTATGTCAGTCAGTCAGTCACCTTTGAGTTATATATATATATAATGTTTAAATATAGGTATAAAGATAGATTACGTACTAGCCTATATAGGTCTATTGCTCCCGTGTTCTGTGTAATTTGCGGATTTCTGCCAACGCCAAAAAGCCTCTGTCTGCGGAAGTGGCGGATTTCTATGATGTGTGTTAATTGTTTAACAAATAAATAAACTTCTTGAACAAAACCACAGACAAATACCTACTCCGTAGAAGATTTTGTGTCTAAAATTTATGCTGCGCAAAATTCCTTGTCTATGGTCGTTTATCAAGAGTTTTGCCGGGATGTATACCCAAACCACAGTAAATAAATAAACTAAATTATAATATAGTTCCGGTTTCCATCCCTCCAAAACTTATTATACTATGAACGGTCCGCTCTCGTAGCTTACCGACCTGATTGCACTGCACGTAAATTATAGGTACCAAAGCTCAGTACCCTTAGTACGAGTTTGAGCTCACGAAAACTATCATAGTTTTCGTAATTGTAAATTATGTTTCAATGTCCATTTTGGTGAAAAGTAACCAAATTTTCTTAAAATTTAAGAAGACGCAAACGATTTAATGATAGATAAGTAGTTTATTTGTATTGAAACGAAAACAATAAAATCAGTACCCTTAGTACGAGTGCGAGCTCATGAAACCTATCATAGTTTTCGTAATTGTAAAACTCGTACTGAGGGTACTGATCAAAACAAAAAGGGTAGATACGGCAATCGCGGCTCAAAAGTGTGGTCAGGGCCGAACCGTGAGTTTAGGGGGCCCTGGGCTAATAGTAAATAGGGGTCCACCTAATTACTCAAAGTATAGAAAATTTGAGACAGTAAACTATTTAATTTAAATTATATATGCCTTTGTGTTATACAATCGTTAATAAATGGACAAATTACAAAGAAACCTTTCTACAAAGTGCAGAAATGGCAAATTCTTTATAATAAATAAATAAATAAATATTTCCAACACTCACACCAATTAGCCTAGCCCCAAAGTAAGCACTATAAGGCTTGTGTTATGGGATGCTAGGGTAACGGATAGAATACATAAACTGTACATATATAAGTATATTTTTATAGAAAATACATATTAAACATCCATGACTGGAGTTCAAATGCTCGTATTCATCACACAAACATCTGCCCCCACCGGGACTCGAACCCGGGACCTCTCGAGTCGGCAACATTATGAAACCCGGCGTACAAACCACTCGACCACGGAGGTCGTCTTTAATTTGCTCCTCCCATTATAAGGGTAATATTAATGGAGTTATATTCAATGTATTTTTAGGGCCCCTTGAATCCACGGGGCCCTGGGCTGAAGCCTAAAAAGCTATATGGTAGATCCGGCCCTGAGTGTGGTATGTGTGTGTGGTAAATTGTGGTGCGGGCAAATACGGGCGTACTCGATTCCGTTCATTTACACTTATTCGTTTACCCGAATTCCATTGGCACACGTATTCGGGCTAACGATCAAGTGAAATCGCGCCATTACTCGTATTATTACATTAATTTATCTTTAATGATTTCAAGAACGATGGAAGCAGAAATTTCACCGTTCCAGCCACCTCGACAACACCATAAAACTGATAAGGATCACGCCAAGGAAGTTAAAACTAAACGCCCCAATCCTGACGGAGACACGTATAAAAGGCAAGGCAAATCCTATTTTCCATCAAATTCATATTATAAAGAGAAAAGAATTGTAACGAATAAATAAACTACAGGAAGGACTTCAAAAGTCTTTCACCGATAAAATGCTACGTTATTCCTGAGTAACTTCAATACTAACATTATCAATGCGAAAGTGTTTCTGCCTGTCTGTCGGTTACCTCTTTACGCTTTAGTTAAATTGTAAATTACCTGTTATTGAAACTTAAATTTATTAATAACCGCTGAACCGATTTAGATGAAATTTGGTACTCGAAGATCCAGGAAAGGACATAGGATAGTTTTTGTACCAGAAATAAACTTTTAATCGTCAATAAATAAATAAATAAAGTTTCGTATATTAACCCGTAAAAACTAGTTTTATTTAAAGAGTGATGTGCGTGAAAACCTAAGAAACAAAAAAACTATCCTTTCCTTTCCATGAACTTAAACTACTCTATCTTTACCAAATTTCGTTTCATTCCGTTCAACTGTTTAAGTGCAAAAAGGTGTCAGACAGATACACTTTCGTATCTATAGTATTATTAGTATGGATATGGAATTTGGACTTCTATGTAATAAATATTTCCAATACTCACACAAATTAGCCTAGCGCCAAAGTAAACACTGTAAGGCTTGTGGTATGGGATGCTAGGGTAACGGATAGAATATATACACTGTACATATATAAGTATACTAGCTGATCCAGCGAACTTCGTACCGCCCTAAAAAAATAGAGGTTGTCCAGCGGACAAAATTGTGAATCTAAACCATTCTCAGATCCCCTTGAACACACACAAAAAATTTCATCAAAATCGGTCCAGTCGTTTAAGAAAGTTCAGTGACATACACACTCACAGAAGAATTATATATATAAAGATTTATATAGACACTAGCTGACCCAGCGAACTTCGTACCGCCCTAAAAAAATAGAGGTTGTCCAGCGGACAAAATTGTGAATCTAAACCATTCTCAGATCCCCTTGAACACACACAAAAAATTTCATCAAAATCGGTCCAGTCGTTTAAGAGAAGTTCAGTGACATACACACTCACAGAAGAATTATATATATAAAGATATATATTAAACATCCATAACTGGAGTACAAATGCTCGTAGAAGGTCGAAGGCTCGCCAAACAATACTAGGGATGGAAAGTAATTAATTTTAGTACAATTTCATATCTCTGAATAATTCACGACAGATTCTCCGTTCGGAATAGGGGAAGCAAGTATCTTCACACCACGGAAGTCACCACAGAGCACCCGGTGTTCATTGAAGACACCAGTCTGAATGGATACTTCAGTGACGCGAGCAACAATCTAGTTCGGAGGGCCAACCAACCGAAGGTGAGATTTAACTGGATAGATGCACCGAAATCTATTTCACATTCGGTATTATCTATGGAGGTTAGAGAGAAGGAGAACGATCGCTACGTACTAAAGCATTAGCCCGCCTGACCCTGAAAATTTGTAGAATTTATAGTTCATTTTTCAGCCACCAGCCGCGCTGCCGTCGGTAAGTAGTATCTGTGAAGTTAGCTGTTTATGAGTACAAGTAGATGAAGTTAGTTCAGTATTTCCCAACCTTTCCAATACTGCTTCCCCTGTAACCTATTAGGAAAACAGATTTTACCCCGACTTTAAAATGTTATCATCAGTCCAAGAAATTCCAATTTTGCCGCTACATCTTCGTCTCTAATAATGTCAGCATCAGGATCAATCTCGCCCCGCTTCCCACACTCAGCGCCCCGCGGGCTCGCTAGCAAGTAGGAGCGCATGCTCTATTTAGTAGTATTATTGTATAGTATTTTCTTATTATTTAGACAGGAGTTAGTTGAATATTGTACACATTTTTCTTCGCGGCATTGGTCATTTCAAATTAGCCCGCTTTTATTGAGACAACTTAGCGATCGCAGCGCCTCCCTTATTTTGTCCATATTTCAGAGACACTATTTTCTACAGCGATAGTTCTACTTTTCTCTAACCTCCATTGTATTACCAAAGTTTGGCAGCTCTTGCTGAACTTCGTCTTCGGCCGAAATTCGGTAGCTTAAATTAATTTAAATAAGAAATACAAAAGTGTAAAAAAATGTATTTTAAAATGAAATCTAGATCTAATAATATTTTTTATGCAAATACGTGGATGTTCGTCCATATTTTGTTTTTATTTCCAAAGACTCGTTGTTCGAGCGCACTTTGTATGTAGATTACCTTCTGTGACTATCTATTTTGTGCTACCACTTTAGATAAGGCCCAGCGTAGACTTTTAACCAATTTGTCCGAGACATTTTATTTGCACATGAAAATCAAAGCTAAGCTGAAATAAATTAGTATGCGTTAAGTAATTTTACAAAAATACCAAAATCTCTTGACCGATTTCCCGACTGTATCATTTTTTATCGACTAATCAGAATTATACTTCCGGACACATCTATCGGCCCACTTAGTGTTATAAGTTTCAACGGTCTGTAGCAAAAATATAGTTTGAGCAATACATATTTCATTTACTAGCTATAAGTGAAAGAGAGAAAGAAAATGTACGCGCGCGCTGCTTTCTCTTGCTTATATCCCCCACTCAACTCCCGTTCGCCTCGCCCGAACACACTATTCGTAGCGCGTAACGCATTACCCCAGCTTACCCCCCAAGTCAAGAATGAAAACGAAAAGATGTTTTAATAAATCAGCTTCAATTCTGCGTAGGTACAACTTTTTGCATAATGTTACATATATTTTAGCTAGGGACACTCATAACTTAAGCGCCCTTTTACAAAATTGCGCCGCTGCCGTACTGATCGGCGCGTAGGTAGATTTGCACTAGTATACATTGCATTTTACGGGTGATGTTTCTAGTCTTATAATATAATTATTAATGAACTTATCATAAAAATATATACATATTTCAGTACTTCAATGATGATAGATTAGTTTTATGAAAGTTTTTGATAGTAATTCTTTTTAATTCAATATCAAAATACGAGGTGAACCTCCATTATTTTTTGGGAAAACTCACGGAGGTTAGATGTTTTTTTTTGATAATTAATGAGATGGAAAATCAAAATTCTAATACATTACGTTTCAACAAAAACATACTTCTGATCTAAATTATTGAACATTATTTAGGGATTCAGGCGTTTGAAGTTGTGCATATTATCGTTTTTTCCGTAAACTAGCTGCGGTAGAACGACCAGTACAAAAATGGGAAAATAGTATTTGAAAATATTCTACATTAACTTTCAATAGGAAGAATAAAGCTACTGTTTACTTTTATTGGAAAAAGTCAAAATCTTTTCAATAGGGGGTAAACGAGACGCTCAAAAATTACGATTTTTTGCAAAAATTGTGAAAGGGCTCTTAAAATGCTAGGTGGGCCGATAGATGTGTCCGGAAGTGTATCTGAAGAGTACCTACGAGAGCAAACACTTGGCAAAGCTATTTAGTTACTATTTTTAAAATCATGCCCGATTGTTTTCTGTTGCATGTATCAGTCGAGATCAAACGGGATGATGAGTTTTGGTCAGGAAGTTTTGGCTAAACTCACCAACACAGACACACTGATAGCGCAAAGCACCTGCGACAGTAGGAAAAGTGCGAAAAAGGTAGCATAAACACACTAATATTATGAAGGCGAAAGTTTGTGAGTGTGTGAGTGTGTATGTTTGTTACTTCTTCACGTCTAAACGGCTGGAGGGATTTTAATAAAATTTGGTATGGAGTTAGCTGACACCCTGGATTAACACATAGGCTACGTTTTACTGCGGGATAATATTCCTTATAAACCGCGGGTAACACCGCGGAGCACAGCTAGTACTTAATAATTTTGATTTATTTTCCACGTTCCTTCTATGGCCGTTAAAATCTAACCGCCTTAAATTGGTAGGTATAGTGTGGTTTTGTATTGCTAGTATACATACACATAAGTCATTTGGGTAGGCATAGGACAAAACGCAATACATGGTACAAACGATCAACGTATTTTAAACAAAAAAAAAAATGGGTGCGTGTACTTATGTAGGCGCGTGAGAAGTTATCCTTCTTTGGCATCGTTTAAAATTAGTTTTTAATTGCATGCAAATAATTAATTACAATAAATTAATAAAAAGTCTGGAAAAGGACACAGTCAATAAAGTTCAGTTTTAATTTGAAAAAATAAATAAATAATCAAAATATTCAATTAAAATCGCTACTGAATATAATTTATTAGAACATATGTGATTTGCACTTGTATGAAACTCAAACACGTATTCCGAATATACAAACTAGAAACATGTGGATAAATATTATAAACTAGCGGCCCGCCCTCGCTTCGCTTCGGTGTAGAGCTGAAGTGTAGACTACAGTTTTTGTTCTCAGGCTTGTATTATACACAATGACATTCATCTATGATTCTTCTTATACCTGCATGCAAAGTCTCAACCCGATCGGTTTAAAATTGATAAAGTTTCATACAAACTTTCATTCCTTATTTTATCCCCTTGGGATTTTCTTTATATTTTTTTCCGTAAGAACCTTGTACAGAGTATTAGAAAACTACAAAAAAAAAACAGCCAAATCGGTCAAGCCGTTTTCATGTTATGTCGTGACAACGGAAAACGGGTTTCATTTTTATATATATAGATATGAAAACAGTCTCTGTTCTAAATTCAAAACTCGTAACTTTTCCCGATGTTTGTTGTACGTGTTTCCCGCGCTAGGACCGCGAGTGGCCGCGCATACGTACGGTGCGGCGGGCGACGCGGTAATGGCAGCGCGGCACATGAAGTTGGTCGCTAAAGCGACCAACTTCATGGTGTTAATTTTTTGTGTTACAGATGCGCGCGCATCTTAAAATTTCACTCTCATAATTTTTTTATAACGCGCCTAAAGAAGTATAACTTCAAAAAGTTTGCTTATGACGATACTACTGAAGTGAAACTTCTTTAGCTCCATCTGTATGTATGTATATACTTATAGTATATATACTTATAATATACATATTTCATTTCAAATGTACGCGCGCACTGCTTTCTCTTGCTTATATCCCCCACTCAACTCCCGTTCGCCTCGCCTGATCACACTTTTCGTAACGCGTCCGCTAGCTTACTCCCCAAGACAAGCGTGCGTAAAGAAGTTTCACTTTAAATAATATTATTGTGAACTAAAAAATAACAACAATATTATTGTGAACTAAAAAGACATTCCTTTTCAATGAGCCAATAGTGGAGACTTATTAATAATTCATATTTACTCTATATTAAAAATGTGAAAGTGTGTCTGTCTGATCTCTTCGCCTTTCAACCGTTGAACGATTTTAGATGCAATTTAGTATAGAGATAGTTTGAGTTCCGGGATAGGATATACAATAGTTTCTATCACAGAAATCATGTTTCAAGTGGATGAAAAGGGGGATGGGAATTCGTATGGAAAATCAATTTTTGCACGTAGACGAAGTCGCGAGTTAAGTACTCGCGACTTCGTCTACGTGCTTAACTAACTTACGTGCTAGTACTTAAAATATACTTATTAACAAAGTATTAACTAGTACTCTTTTAGATGTAAGTAAGTCCCATATTTCTTATTCCACAGGAACCCGCACCAGTTTACATGGCGCCGGTCGAGACAAGACGTAAGTCGACCCATATAGTGGTCTCCGAAACATCGGAAGAGACAGATAAGAAACATAAGAAAAGAATCCACAAGAAGAAGAAGAACAAAGGCAAAAATCACAAGAAACACCACAAAGACGACAAAAAGAAGAAAGTCAACAAAGTGAGCTCCTTAGAAGTGGAGAAGAATGTGGTTTCTTTAGAAGATAGTAGCGGGATTGCTAGTTCATAAATAGCATATATGTACAAAGTATAACAGTAATGACGCACACCTTGAATTTTAAATCGATTTAAAAAAAAAGGTTTTATGATTTTATTTATTTTTAAGCATTTAACTGCTAGATGTTTAAATCTAAAGAAAAAGCAGCTTAAGGCTAGGAAAATTTCGACGCGGCGAATAGGGCCGTGGTAGCATAATGGTCAGTGCATTCGCCCGGATTGCGAAGGGTGCGGGTTCGAGTCCCGTCCGCCGCCTGGTCCCCGTGGATTTTTTTCTAGTAAACTTTTCTTTAAAAATGGTTTAATCTATAAAAACGTTTTTTGTGAGGTTATTGTAATCTTTCTAAACTATAAAACAAGGTACCTAATAGGAGTTATTTTAAATGCAACTACACATTAAATAATTTTACTGTGGAGCTCGATGGCGCAGGAGGCTAGCGCGTTCGGCTGCGATCGTTGAAGTTAAGCAACTTTTGCAGTGGTCGGTTATTGGATGGGTAACCAAAAATTTACTATCTCGAGCTTCTCCGTGCTTCGGAAGGCACGTTAAGCCGTTGGTCTCGGCTGCATTTGCAGTCGTAAGCACCCACTAATCCGCACTGGGCCCGCGTGGTGGGTCATGGCCCAATCTCCCTAATCCATCCATAGGGAAGGCCTGTGCCCCAGCATTAATAGGCTGATGATGATGAATTTTACTGTCATTGAGATATCACTGGTTAAACTCTTTTAATAAATAAAAATGATTAAAATTGTTTCATTTGTATATTTGTAAGAAACTTTAAGATTTTGCGTTATTTCTGTTACACGTCGTATAGCTCGGCCAACAAATCTTGGTCCATTGAAGTTAAACTGCACATAAGTCCTAAGAATATCAGAAATATTTTTTGTTGCGCAGGCAAATCTAGCTTCAAGGTGTCAAACACGTAACTTTATTGACATTAAGTATTATATGATAACAATTTTTGTTGATTAAAATGACCACGTCAAGTACTACTTGAAGTTCATATTAAATGTATATATTATTGATAGCTATATAAGATCATAAGCTGGTTCTCTATCAGGTGCGATTATTTAATAAAGATTAATTTGACACTGTCATAAAATATTTTGATTTTTTAAATAATGTTGGTTAGTCTAAAACATTAAAATGTGTAAAATTTTAGAATAAGGTTCATACTAACTAAGGTTCTATAAATTGATAAATGGCTGAGTTTTTATTGATGCTTGTAAATTTTTAGCCATTTTTTGATACATCAAAGGAGATTTCAGAAAAAGAACACTGTTTTATTTTGATTTTAATCCTTTACTTTTAAGTTTTATCTAGAATTTATTCTACCTATATTTGCTATATTACTAAATTGAGCTGCGCCTAGTATCAAATGCAGTGATTTATTGCATTTTTTTCACATTAATGTCACTGAAAAATTTTTGAAGTTATATTTCTTTAGGCGCGTTATGAAAAAATGATGAGAGTGAAATTTTAAGATGCGCGCGCATCACTGTAACACAAAATTTTAACGCTCGCTAAAGCGACCAACTTCATGCTGTTACTTTTGCGTTTACCGCACATTAAGAAAATCTACCAACAAAATAGAAATAGAATCTCTATTTAGTGGGTGCTAACGACTGCATTGTGAAGGCCTATCAAAAGTATTTATTAATCTGGAACAACAGAACCAAAGCGCGATTCAGGAGACTACTGCGCCATCTCTTGACCATTGGTGTAGTAGAACCAAAAACCACATCTTTATTTTTTGTAATAAAGTAACAGTTATAGGTATTCATATTTATGATATCAAAAGTATTTATTAATCTGGAACAACGGAACCAAAGCGCGATTCAGGAGACTACAGCGCCATCTCTTGACCATTGGTGTAGTAGAACCAAAAACCACATCTTTATTTTTTGTAATAAAGTAACAGTTATAGGTATTCATATTTATAATATTTATCCACATGTTTCTTGTTTGTATATTCGGAATACATGTTTGAGTTTCATACAAGTGCAAATCACATAATATGTTCTAATAAATTATATTCAGTAGCGATTTTAATTGAATATTTTGATTATTTATTTATTTTTTCAAATTCAAACTGAACTTTTTTATTAATTTATTGTAATTAATTATTTGCATGCAATTAAAAACTAATTTTAAACGATGCCAAAGAAGGATAACTTCTCACGCGCCTACATAAGTACAAGCACCCATTTTTTTTTACTTCTCTCACCGTAAAAGTACGTTAAAACAACCAGTAACAGAAAAAATATATACTACTTATAGAGTTAGAACTTATTCTTATTAAAAAAAAACAATTCACACCTTGCACAAACTTTCGATTGAATGCTTGTTCAATTGGTTTAGCAACGAGAGATCGTTCCTTAAAGTCGGCCCGCTTACGTCGTCCACATCGCATCGGTCGGGTTTATAGATGTAAAACAACCGATTTAAAACGTTTTAAACAAAATGTTGCCGTTTTAAACCCCAAATAAATCGTTTTAAACGGTTGAAAACTGGCATACAAAAATAAAAGAACTACTAACTACTACTTTTTACACTTCATTATGGTCAATTTTTGGTCACCTGACGTCATGGTTCGTATAGAGAAAATAGAAAGTACCTACGTACATTACTTAGGTACCATGAAAATTTAAGTAGGTATGTAGGTATCTTTATACTTAAGCACTTATTTATTATACATATATTATATAATACACACTAGATTAAAATAAAAGACATCATTAACACAATACCAACATTTTTTTGTGTTGACATCATCAACACCAACCGTTTTAAATCGAAAAAAATGGTTTATTTCGGTTTTAAACGGTTTTTTCGTTTTAAACGGATTGGTTTAATTGGTTTTAAACCGGACTTACATCTATAGGGTGCGGCCAGAGTGCACTCAGATTCAGATTCAGATTCCGAAAACAAGCGCGAGAAATAAACAGTGTAGTCTAAGCAGGTTGCCTGCTTTTTCTCGCGTTTTGTTTTCTGAGTCTGAATCTGAATCTGAATCAGGAGTGCACTCTGGCCGTACCCTTCGACTACACTGTTTATTTCTCGCGCTTGTTTTCGGAATCTGAATCTGAATCTGAGTGCACTCTGGCCGCACCCATAGTCGGGTTGCGTTCATTAACTCAGTCAAACAAACACACAGCGCGGGCGCTTCTTTTGATTTTAACGCTGAACTCATAATTAATGTAAACTAAACCCCAAAGCATAAAATTAAGCCACAAAAGTGACTATTATCTTGGGAGACTTGTACAATAAGCGCATTATATGTTTGTTATTTACAAGGCATGGCAAGGCGCCTATTGTATGGCGCGCGGCACACTTCGCACACAGGGGCCCTGCGGGTCAATTATGCTTCAGTAATAAAATTCTAATGTGATGTCAATATGATGTTGATGCCAAGTTGACATTGTTTTTATATGGTATTATGAAACATTCCTATGTCACATCAAGATCATATCAATATCATATCCTGTATCACATTTTTGACGTTTATGCGATACTATTTTAAGTCAAAAAGTTGAACGTAATACGCATTTAAGTTGATATCATTTTATAGAGTTGATCATCATCATAGCATAAGGTGATGTCATTTTGATATCGCATTTTTCGGAGAGCATAATACGTAATGTGAAATAGACATCAAAACAATATCACAATTAGCGAGCATAATTATTGGCCTGCTGCACGCATGCACAGTACCCTTAGTACGAGTTTTACAATTACGAAAACTATGATAGTTTTCGTGAGCTCGCACTCGTACTAAGGGTAGGTACTGATTTTATTGTTTTCGTTTCAATTCAATACAAATAAACAATAAAGTGTTTAAATTCTAACATTAAACCATTTGCGTCTTCTTAAAAAGTATATTTGGTTACTTTTCACCAAAATGGACATAGAAACATAATTTACAATTACGAAAAGTATGATAGTTTTCGTGAGCTCAAACTCGTACTAAGGGTACAGATTACTTAGATACAACGTGCACCGTTTAAAAACGAGATAGCCCGAATTTGCGAGCGGGCAGGATGCGTTGTTTAGGTTGGCCGAACGATTATGACGAACAGTGTTGCCAGGTCCGATTTTCAAAAATCGGGAGGCGTTATAGAAAAAAACAGTAGATGTATGGAAAGAGCTACAAGAAAAACAGTAGATGCAGAGGTGTACTTTTTCCGAAATCTCAGGCGGCTAGAAATAACAAAATGAAATCGTAAGCGTTAGCGTTTTCCAAAGCATTTCCGTTAGGCGAATGGCCCCCTGATCTTCTGTAAAATGAATTGGAGATTGCTTCCCCAGGGAACGGGCGCTCCAATTCGTGCGGGAATCCGTTGTGTCCTACCGCTCTTAATTTTAATACTGTAAGAAATAGTAAAATAAAATGTTTCAATAAATTGTATCTGCTCATTTATTTACAATAATAAATCTTACAATTTAACTAAACTAGTAGTGTGACAAATGCAATATAAGAATACAGTTTTAATTGGGGCTATTTCTGACAAGATTTCCGAAATTTAAAACTGGTCTTTAGTATACCCATATCGTGTCTTAAAGAATTTAGGAGCTGCCGACCAATTTAGGCACCGCGCGCATTAGACGTCCACGACCAAGACCAGTGGCTGCAACGACCAGATTAACTAAATAATTCATACTACAAACGTTGGCCGCAACGGAACTTTAGTTTATCTGGTAGTTGCGTCCCCTGGTCGTGATCGTGACTGTATAGTGTGCGAGGTGCCTAGTTTAAAGTTTAGAAAATCGTGTCACAATTTAGCCCCACAACAATAAAGATATTACGTTATAATTAACAGAATAATACATAAAATAATCTAGCTAAGAACAAATGTGAAAGAGATCTTATATCTTGGGACACAAGCACAATAAATATGTGAAATAAATTAAATAAGAACAACAAGGATTATGAATAAAATGTAAAAACACATTAGGAATACGAGGTAATTGGTTTCAGACATGGAACACCCGCAGAGGTATCCATTAAACTTCATTTTTCTCAAACTGTTTTACCATGAAGTT